AATAAGAACCAAGATGCATTATGTAAAGGTACAATTCCCAATGAGAAATGTAATTGTGTTGTATACCTACAATGTACCAAAAAAGAATTTAATACAAAAAAAAAAAAAACTTGCTGACCCCTAGATGATCAGACTAAAAGCTATGTTCTCACATGAAGATTTAAATAGCACGCATGTCACTTTAAAATGTAAGTAATTTTTTACTATAAGACATAATAAACTGTATATGACTTATAATATGTATGTATATATAGAAAATTCAAAAACAGATTAAAAAGATTATGCATACTCTTAAAAGTAACATATTTACTAAAAATTTCTGAAAAAAATTACTGAACAATATTTTCAAAAAGTAAATTTCTCTGCCTAAAATACTACTTGACAAGGAAGACATTCTTAAAAAAATCTCCACTTATACAGAGATTGTCCTTCTTTCTTTGGGAAACTCCCTACATTGTACTGTATTTTTAAAACTATACTTATATTTGGTTTTAATATAACAATGTACTAAGAAGAAAATGGAAAATAAGCCACTTGGTTCTAATTATCATTTAAAAAATTATACATGCACATAAACAAGAAAAATAAGTTGTCTTTCTTTCCTCACTGTAAAGAGAGGTACTATGAAGATTTTCTTGTAACATTCTATTTTAAAATTGAGTTTTCTTACCTTAACATTTTCTATTGCCTCCCAAATTCTCTCTCTCAGGTTTGCAGAATCATTTATTTTATTTTTTAAATTTCTAATGACAATATCAAAGTGATTTCCTTTGAGCTGACCAAGTCTAAGGGAATCATCTACAGAGCGAATGTTAATCACATTCATTCTTTTCTTTTCAATTTCTTTTTCAATATTTTTCAACCTGTGAGTGATAAATCATACAGACTCAGTTGTATCTTATATTCAAATATACTTCAATATAAGATTTTAAATGATCGATACCAGGCAATTCCTCATATCAGAATACAGGTACTAATACAACATTAACTTTAGAATACCCTCAAGTCTAAAGTTAACATTATTTCAATAAATATACACTAAATATTCACTATTATGAGAATACTAACAGTTACTTCTGGAATTTGAACATACATTACTAATGCTATCACTTCACATGTGTAGGCTCCTGACTTCTCCTTTGTTCAGGTGACAGAATCTCCCAACTGTTCTCCTGATCTTCCAGGCAAACCCCAAAGTCAGGGTACTCCATAGCCCAGTGTTGGGCCGTCCTATCCCCAGACTCAGCTCCTTCCCTTCTCAATCTCTCTTCCCCCAATATTACCAAGAAAAATCACTAGCATCAGGCAATTTTCCTGAAATTCTGCTTTAAACACTTCCTTATTCAAACCTTCAATTCTTCCCCAACATCTAAACAATAGATTGCAATTTCTTAACATAAAAATGTCAAGGTGTTGTAGCAGCCAATATAAATTTTGCTTTACATCCACATTTTCTGTGGTCCTCATAAAAACTACCTTTAAAGGTAGACTGTTTACTGTCCCTTCAAATATTTGTCTTAAATACATAATCCAAAGTTCTTCTTACCCATACTGTAGTTCTTGACCACAAAAAGAGAATACCTGATTTTGTCCCATATATGATAGTTTAGGAAAACTTAGAAAAATCTACTTACAAATAGTGATACTTAAATAATTGATGACTAAGGATTAAAACATTAACTTAGGCTGAATTTTGGCCTAATGATACCACTTTTTGAAGTTAATCTTAAGGAAAGTATACACAAGATCCAGATTCTAGTATAAGTACATGAATCGCAATATTATTTACAGTGAAAGTTAGAAAGAATTCCTATTTCCAAAAATAGATGACTATTAAATAAGCCTGTGTACTATGGACATGATTTTAAAATATTTTGTGACATAAATTTTCATATATTATTTTTTAAAAATATGAATTGCATGTACAATGTAATTTTCATATATATATATATGTGATCTATGCATGTGGTATAGTCTCTGAAAAATATCTTGAGAGAAACAGATCAAAACGTTAATTGCAGTTATATTTGAGGAGTGGTATCATTAGTGACTTAATTTTTTATACTCGTTTCTACTTTCTAAATCTACATTTAACATATATTTATTTTACAAAAATATTTTTAGTAAAAGAAATTTTTTATACTATTGAGCAGAAGGAATGCAAAATTTTAGTTCTTTGCATTCTATTTAACAAGAATGTATTTTAAATGCAAGGAACAATGAAAATAAAGGCTTACAAGTATTATAATATTAGGAAAAATGATTTATAGGACATTTTCCTGAACATAAATGCTTATTTGAATATAGTCCAGGATGTTTAGAAAAATTTAGACAATTTAAAAATCTGCCACTGCTTAGTTATCATAGAATATCCTATATTTTCAATACAAATTTAAGATATAACTCCATTTATAAGACAATTCTAACAATGTAAGATGTGCTGGTAGCCTGTGATCAATTAATATTGACAGTGAGGTTATTATGCTCCAAATATTGAGTTTTTAATCTTGTATTTATTTATTTGATGAAATATAAAAGGAAACTTTTATCTGATGAAGCAATACCTTATTACCTCTCTGGAGTCACTTTTCTAACAACCATTGCTTGATAGGTGATGGCTTTCTTGTCTTTAAGGCCTGCATAACTAAAATCTGAAGGAATCACACCAAGTTTTGTAGCTAAAAAACCAACTGCTTCAAACATCTCCAGATTTTCCTTTCGCAGGGTAAAAGCTGAAACAAAAATAATCCTACATTACAAAAAAAAGGCAGCTACCACGTATCAATTACATTCTTGCCCACAGTCTTATTTTTGTTTTTATATCTGTGGAAGTTAAATCTTAGAGATATTTAAAATTTCATAAATCTTTGTAAACTAAAGTCATAATATACATTCAAACATGCATAACTTTTAAGATTCCAATTCTTTATTTATACCCTAGAGTCCCTACAGAGTACAATCCTGCTTCTGTGCCATACACATCTTTATAAACTTGGGCTACTTTTCTTTAAATTGATTTGCTAAACAAATTTGTAAAACACAACCATCTGAAACACGTTTCATCCTCCAAGTTAGATATACACAAGTCAGATACGGTCAGCTGGATTTGTGCAGTGAGACTTCATTCCTCCACCCACCAGAGGAATTACACATATCCTCTGAAACTATAATTCTCAAAAAATACTTTCCAAATCAGCAGAGAAAGCAGCACTGTGGAATATGTATAAATCTCACTTAGCCCTTCCAAATCAGAAACTGGAAATTATACTAGAAAGTCTGTTTTAACTTTTATGAAATTATATTGCATGCCGAAGTTTGAGCACATCTTAGAGAGACTGACAGCCAAGTTTTCAGGTTCCATACCTCAGGTAGGGTTTTGCAAATATTCTTTTTACTTTAGGAAGCACAGCAAACATACACTTCTTTAAATATTTAATTTTAATTAAGATGACTTTCAAAATAGGAAATCAAAATTTAACATCAATAACTTATTAAGCCCAAAATAAATGTTTCAACTTTATATGTTTGTGACTGTGTTAACTGTGAATGAGTATCTATTTCACTCACCTTTCCATCAATAAGGCTAATGATTATGTTCAGTGTAACTTGACAGGCTTTATATTTCATTAAGTAACAGACCCACATAATCTTTCCAATGCCTCTGTGGTCAAGTCTGTTCAAATTATTTAAATAATTCTGCTTCCACTCAACTTTAAATTTAACTAAGTTTTTCTAAGAAAATGATGATGTTTTATTAAATTACCTGTATGTATAATTTTTCCTTCCTGGCATCCAGGAAGAGACCTTTTTCCACACTTGTGTGTCTTTTCCCGAAATCTTACTGTTATCACTATGTTTGGATTACTAGCATTGTAATTCTGTTCAGGGAAAGATTTGGTTTCTACAAGGTTTCCAAACTTCTTGTTGACAAAATGATGGACTGCTTTTCTGTGGTCTTTGTTTGTATCAGGTTTAAAGGTAAATTTGGAATTTTCTTTCTTAGCATCTAAATATTTAAAAAACTCCAATGCTTCTTCTTCAGACACCAAGTGACACAGTTCTTTATATTCAAGATTTGGTTTTACAACAATTTCACTGTTTTTTCCTACAGTTATTAAAAATGGAAATTTCTGCCTAATAGCACTATGTAAACTGGCCCTCTGGTTTTTGTCAAGGATTCTGCCTAATGAAAATTCAGGGAATGGTTCAATTGACTCAGTTCTTGAATTCCACTTCTCTTTTATATCATAGGCAAATTGATTCAGTAATTCATTAGTTTTTTCATCTAACAAAGAGCTTAATACAGCAGGTTTTTCTTCTTGTTTGCATGTCCTGTCATCAATAGTGTCTTTTTTTTCTGAATCTGGCTGATGATTTTGGTCACCACTGGAGCAAACAGCCAAAGTATTAACTTCTTGGTTACTTCTATCTTCAAAGGGCAAATTTTGAAGATCTAGTTTTGGTTTTTTGGCAAAATTATTCATCTCCGGTAGCATTTTACTAACCAAAACAGGTTCATCAATGGTCATATTAACTAATTGTCCCTGTTCATTAATCTCAATAACAATAAAGTCACTTGGTGAACTTTTTATAGTACCCTGAAATCCAACATGCTCATTAATGAACCACAAAGAACTAAACTGGATCCTATAATCTGTATCCTCTTCCATTACAAATAGCAATGCCTACAAAAGAAACAAGGAGTCAGTTACCAGAAAGAAAAGTTGCAAATAACAACAAAGAAATGGTTTTGCAAGATTTACTTAATTGTCTCCGTTTTCATACTGAGCTCTCATAAATGACACTAATAATTTATGGTCATATATCTTGTGTAGGTTGACTTCCCTATACAAAGCTGAATAAACAGGCAAATTATTTTCAGTATGACTAGTGATTTAGAACTTGATTTTTTCACTCATTCCAGGCTCCTGTCTAATAAGTAGGATTAAAGTGGATGAATTTCAAGTTTACCTTAAAAGTACTATTTCTAGGCCCATAAAGAAGAGACAAGAACAGGACTATTTCACAATGATTTGTCTGGTTTCACCAGTGGAGCTTAAAATTTCCACTAATTCTTGAGAAATTATGGCCAGATTTTTATATATTAGAGGTTAGAACACGAGAGGGGGACAATAAGGCAGAAACAAAAGTTTAAGCTGCTAAGTAATAAAGTTGTAAATATCAGCTTACAACCTGTTTATATTTCAAGGCAGGTTTTAATTAGTCCTGAACCTTAAACTTTCTCTAAAGCCACCCAATACAGAATTCTGAAGTTAATCCACAGGAAAATTCTAGACATATTATTGGCATCAGCAAAAAGAAACCCTTATAGGTTTTTCTTGGGCAGTAAACAAGAGAACAGTTTTGTGATAAACGCCTTTAGCTGACACACAACTCATCATTACTATACCACATGGGGCTGCGGGAAAAATAAATTATCCAAGACCTCACCATTTAGTTATCTATGGTAGCCACACTCCCCAGAAAATTTATCATCATGTGGTCCTTCATCCCATTTCCACAATGTAATCTACTAACCTGAAACAATTTGGCAAACTACTTCCCGTCTTGATCCTTTCCACTGTGTCATGCAAATATCAAAACAAATTCTCTGTATTTTAAATTTCTAGGAAAAACAAAACAAGAAAAAAGGTATATTTATTTTCTATAATTCCCTGCATAGACCCGTTTCTTGCCCTAATCAAAACGTGGCTATTTCCCCAGACTGCATCTTCAGTAGTCCTCCCAACCAAAGGCTATTTTTTCTTTCACATTTATCAACCTTTAGGACCAGGTGGTTATAAATGTTTTCTGTTTGTCACTGATCTTTCTAAACCATTTTTTCCTCTTCTACCTCCAAAAAAACCCAGTTTATTTGCAGATCGTGCCATCAGGCTTTATCATCTGCTGTCATCCTCTTTGGTCCCTTTTGATGTTTCTCTATCCTCTGATGACTTCTGGCTCACCACCTATCCAGCACGATGACTTCATGATAGGGATCAGCACTCAGTATCCTGGTTCCTCAATTCTTCTTTTTTTTTTTTTGGTACTGGGAATTGAACTCGGGTCCTTGAGTTTGCACAGCAGGTGTCGAAACCACCTCAGTTCTTCATTCTTATCCTCAACCTCCTACCTCTATTTCATTTTGGTCATCTGCTCTTACAGTCCTAACTTTTGAGTTTCTCATCACCAAAAACCATCAAACTTTAAACACCTGACTCCCAATCACTCCCACTGTCCTTCCATCAGCCCTACTTTAATATTTCTGTTCCAAAAACTCTTAAGACATTGTGAAGGCCTCTAATCCCTACTTCTACATCTTGGCCACTATGGCTCATTCTCTGTGTAGCAGCCAGAATGTTGTTTTAAAAGCTAAATTATATTGCAACTCGGTTTAAAACCCTATAATCACACTTATTGTAAAGTCCAAATTATTGTTCCTGAATTCCAAAGACATCTAAGGTTCTGGACCCTGTCCATTCTCCAAACTCTTCTTGTACCTTCAACCCATTATTCTGTTAGTCTTCTTTATTACATTCATGCTAACTGTTCCTGCTACTTATATTGTTCCTTCTACAATTATACAGCTGCATCTTTTAGGATTCACATTCCTGCAAATTCCCCTGATCACTAATCAATAGGAGCCTGCAAGTCATTCTGTATTTAATTTTTTTTTTTTTTGTACCAAGGATCAAACACAGGACCTTGCGCTTGCGAGGCAGGGGCTGGCACCACTGAGCTAAATCCCTTGTATTTAATTTTTTGGGTAGTATTTCTAGGGAATGTTTTTCTTAATTATTTACTGTCTTTCTCCCCAAACCTAATGTCAATTCCATATGAATAGGAACATTATCTGCCTTACTAATGATTAGACCACATTTAGAAGTGTCAAGATCATAGAAGGTCTGCAATCAATACTGACAGTTGTACAACCAAACAATAGTAGAAAATATGAGCTGTAAAAGAGAAGAGGAAAAAAGGTTTATTTTGGCCTATGATAATTAGGAAAGGGGCAATGCAAGGAGTAGCCATTTGATAGGATTTATATCTGCACATCCCCCAAGAGCCATATGTGCTCACAGGTGGGGGGCTTTTGGAAGGTGACTGGATTATAAGGGTTTATAGCTGACTCGTTATTAGGAGGTGAGGTCTGGTAGAAGAGGTGGGTCACTGGGGCACTGGCCTGGAAGGGTTTATCTCCTTCCTCGACTCTTCTCTTGATGTTTCCTGGACACCATACCCTACGTAGCTCTCCTCAGCTCTCTTCTGCCATACTGCCCTGTCTTAAGATTCTTAGATTCACTCTACTGTAGAGTAAAATTTCTACAGGGCTGGGGATTTAGCTCAGTGGTTCCGCCGCCTGCCTCGCAAACACAAGGACCCAAGTTCGATTCCCGGTACCAAAAAAACCCCCCCAAAACAAAAACCAACCTCTACACATTGTGAGCCAAAATAAATCTTTCTGCTTTTGAATTGCGGGTGTCAGGTATTTTGTCCTAGTGATGAGGAAAGTGGCTAAGATGCCATCTTAGTCCTTACAGTTCGAGACAAACAGGGCAGAGACATCACAATCAAGTAATGTACAAACAAAATATGCATTTATGCAACGTGTTAAAAGAAAAACAGCCCTGTCAGGGATCTTTGGTGAGAAAGGGCTACACCAGGGTATGGAGCACACAAACACCAAAAGCCCTGACAAAGACAGAGAATCACTAGTGGATGGCCACTGGAGGGAGGCGTCTCAGTGAAAAGTGACACAATCATAAAGGACCCTTTTCTAACATGACTGATGGAACATCTTTAGAGCTGGAGGAGTCGGAAAAACAAGTCCACCTCTGTAGGGGTTGGTCCTGTAAGAATGATTTTTACTTTTCCCCAGGAAAAAAAAGAAAGACGCTACAAAGGCCTTCTACACTAGGAAAATAGGTAGGAAAACTTGGGGAGAGCGGAGACCAAGCGCTAATTTCAGCCAAGCATCTGAGTGGACCGGAAGTAGAGGGCGGGCGCGAGAGGACGCGCAGGAACGTGCACGCTCCTCGGGGACAGCCGGCTGAGTGCAGCTGTGGGTTGAGCAAGGATCCTGGGAAGGGTTAAAAATGGAAAAAAAGTAGCTGCTTTTCCTTCGTATTCTTCCCCAGCCCCCCGGCGCGGCCGAACTGGCCCTGCCGACGCCCCCCTCCGCAGAACCGAGCGTGGGCGGCGCGGCCTTCCCGTCCGCCAAGTCTCGCTGAGGAGCACCACACATTCATTCCTTCTCCCTGCCCCACCAAGCCCATCCCAAGGCGCGGTCCTAGCCCACGCCGCCGTTCTCTTGGGGGAAGCGTGCAGATCCTCAACGCTGACCCAGCCACGAATCCACATGTAGTACAATCCCCACACAGGGCTAGCAGCTCAGCCGGATCTACCTCATGTCCAAGTGGAGCGTTCCTCAGCACTACGGAGTGCGCATGCCCGAAAGCCCTAAAATTTTTCAGCCTCCGACGGGGCAGATTTAAAGCGGCCCTACACAAGGTATGGAGCCACCTACAGAAGTCGGGGGCGGGACCTTTCCGGGTTGTCCCCTCCCGTTCCCGGTGGCCCCTCCCCATCCGCGTGCTTCCTGTTCTGAGTGCCAGTCGTTCGCACTGCCTGGCTTTGCGCCTGTCTCTGCTCAGGTAAGGGTTTCTGGTGCCGGTGCCTCCTGCGGCGAAGGTTGTCTGCAGTCTGCGGCGGGCTCGGGCCCTCGGCTCCAGGGTTGTAGCCGAGCGTTGCGGAACCTAAATCGCCCTATTGTCACATTGAGAAAAAATCAGAGGGGAAGTGGGCTGCATAGGTCAGAGCTCTCTGAGGTAAGGACTTGGGTGGGTCCCTGGGAACCAGAAAGTTGGTCTGATGAACCTGAGCTTGAAGGGGCGTCAGCCAGCATCTGTACCTCAGATGGACCTTTCAGGTTCGAGGCTTCCAGGCTGTTTCCTGAGCCCATCTTCGGGGCGATCTCCTCCGGAGAACCCGGAAGCGAGGCCAGAGCCCTGCGGAGATGCTTGTCACTTGGAAAGTTGTCAGAGCCTCAATTTTCTGTAGGACCTGCAGCCTTCAGGGAATTAGAAGGTGGGGAGGCCTGTTGTAGGTTCAGGTAAGTGCATTAGCAGATTTGGAAACAAAAGAGGCAAAAGAACAAAAAGCAAACCCTGAGAGCGCTTTTAGCCATTTGGAATGGAAACAAATAGACTAGTGCTTCACAAACGTTTCTGCCCAAGGCACCTTAAAAGAAGAGGATATTAAAATCTGTCTTTTCCCTTCTGGGAGTAGTTCTTGAAGTCTGTTGGAAAGTTCAGATTTCTTTTATTCGTCTGTTTTCATGCTAAATGCTCATGGAAAGTTTGGTTTCTACCTGAACTCTTGATCCTCAAGGCCTAACTTCTGCTTTCCAGTCTTCACCATTGTATGTCTGGAAACTTCAAGTCGACAACCTCAGTGCCCTCTTGTCCCTCTGTGCAACACACAGAATGCCATTGGCTCTGCCTCAGAATTGTTAGAATCCAGGAACTTCTGCACCTTCTCTGTCACCCTCTGGTCTAAACCACAAGCACCTCCTACCTGGGTTATTGATGTCCTCTCCTGATTGGTCTCTTCCTACTTCTCTGTCCTTACTCCGGCATCCTCTAGTGTCAGCAGTCTTGTAACAGAGCATGTCTGCACTCCTCTCAAAACTTTAAGTCTCTCTCATTTCCCTCAGAGGTGAAGTCAGTACAAAGGCTCAAAGGCCCAGGAGAGATGGCCCCTTTTCCTTGCTGCTGCCTGTTCTCCAGTCTCACTGGCTCTTTGCTGTTCACTTTGATCCTTGATTTACTGGCCCTGGTGACAGTTGACTATGATAGAACCCAGGCCCATGCAACCTCAAAGTTTGTCGTCTTTTCACTTCTCCCAGAAGCTTTCCCAACAGATAGCCCAGGAGTTAGCTCTCTTTCTCCTTCAGACTTTTAGTCAAGTGGAACTTTCTTATCAAGGCCCACTCTGACTGTCCTATCTAAAATTGCAACCCCATTTCTGTTTATTTTTTTACTCAACTTGGTGCCATCTAATACATGATAGAATTCATTCATTTGCTTACTACCTGTCTTCCTTCATTAGAATACAAGCTCCATGAGTTCATGACTTTTTATTTCTGTAATATTTGTAATGCTTTAGTTCCAGGGACCTGTATTATTGTAAAGCGCAAAATAGGCACTCAGTAAGTATTTGGTAAATGCATGAAATTATATATTTTAAACATATCAAAAGCACTTTAAATTATTTACCAGTGACTCAGATCAATGTTCCTGAAAGATTTATGCTTGATTTGTGGCACAGCAGCACATAACCCAGTTTGAAAAAGGAGAGCATTGTAGAATTTAATAGATTGGGAAACTGTCTGCTTTCAACATAGTCCTGATACTATTTGTTCAAAAATAAAAAATGGTTTTATTTTGCTAAGAATGCATGAAAGTGGTTAATGTATTAGAAAGGTTATAAATATATTAAAAGTACTATGCTTAATAAAATAAGACTGCCACATCTGAAAAGCTTAGCTATATTCTCAGATTTCTTGTTTGTATCCTACCAGCAGCCTTTCATTCTGAAAATTGAGCTTAAATAACCTCTGCACTTTTGTGTTTTTAAAATGTCATATAAGAATAACATACCGCAGGGGATTTAGCTCAGTGGTTCTGCCACCTGCCTCGAAAGTGCAAGGTCCTGAGTTCGATCCTCGGTACCAAAAAAAAAAAAAGAAAAGAAAAAAGAATAACATACCATAAAATAATAATTGTTGCCTTTTTGGACTAATTATTGTGACAAGATTAGGCCTTTCACACTTGCTGATTTTGATTCTGAAAGTAATTCTTAAGTATTAGCGTCTCTGTTTTTTCAGAGGAAACCAAGGTTTAGAGAAATTGATTTAGTGACCTTGGGTACACTTGGCTATGATAAAACCCAGGCCCATGCAGCCCCAGAGTCCATCTTCCTTCTACCCTTATACAGTTCCTTCCTTTGATCATAGTGCTGATGAAGCACAATCTGACAAGAACTTCTTGAAGTCCTTGAACTCCTATTTGGGCATAATTCTTTGTCTGTTTGAAAGTAGGCATTTGAGTTCTACAAGCAGACACTGATTTTAGTATTTTTCTCAATTGCCACCTCACCTTGTATGCTTTTCCAAGTCATCTTATTTAAAAATATGAAAGGCTTTCCCTTATAAAATTGATGGTATGAGGAAACAGTCATGAACTTATTCATTCATCAGCAATATATCCTGTTCTACCTTCGTTAATCTTAAGTGTACCAAAGTAAATCTTAAATTGTTTGAAAAAGGTGACACTTTTTAGTTTTTCTCCATAGTCTATTGCTAAAAATTCAGAAAAGCAAAGAGAAAATGGAACCACTGTAAAAGATCATTATCAAGAGATAATTACCATTACTGGAGCTGTGGCTCATGGTAGAGTACCTAACATGTAGGAGGTCCAGGGTTTAGTCCTCAGCATCACACACACACCTCACCCCATACACACAACCACTGTTAATATTGTGGTTTATGTTCTTCCAGATATGTATTTGGGAATGGTATATGAATGTGTTTAAGATAACATTTTAAATTCTGGAATTTGGAACTTCTGAGCATATATGTAAAGCAGTTTTCAAAAAGCTTCCTTTTCCTTCTATTTGCTATCACTTCTGCTAGAAATCTGGGTGCCAAAAGCTACACAATTCACCCCTGGTTGTACAATAGCTTTTTAAAAAATAGTTGGTTCCCCGCATTTTAGCTGTCGTTTTTAGGATTAATAAGCAGTTCTTCCTTTAACAGCTTTCTTGTCAGTCAGATTGTACTTATCATAGTAGAAAAAATCTGGATAAATAAGGAGAAATAACTTGAAGGGAGCAATTGCAAAATCTATAGGTAGATTTGATTTCTCTTTTTAAAAAATCAGACTTTATTCAACACGAATTCATGTGGTCACTGAATTGAATTTGGTTTAGTCCCTGCCCGGGAGAGCACACTGCCTGGCAGAGAAGGCAGAAGCATCGTCAATAAAATATAGTAATTGTTGTAATAGAAGTAAGATCAGGTGACATTTTGTACCAATAGTCTTTGCTCAGGAAGGCCTCGAGTGCCTTCTGAGTTGGGCTGAGAGGAGAAGCAGGCATTTACTGGCTGAGCCAGGAAGTGCTTGGGGCAGTTCTTTTACCTCGCCCTAGGTGACCTCACATCCTCTTTCCCAGAGAAAATAACCCCATTTGAGAACTCTCCCTTTCCTTCAAGTCTGCATTGAGACCTCTGCTTTTCTGGATTCAAAAGAAGAGTTTTTCTCTGTTTGAGGCTGAGCTTTTCACTATACTCTATTTGCTATCCCATTTATATCATCAACTGGCCTAAGCCTTCAGCTCTTACCCCAGCAGCTCTCACCCCAGCAGCTCTCTTAAGTGTGACTGAGGTCTCTGGGACTCTTTCAGGGGAGTTGTAAAGTCAAATTTACATATGGGTAAATGATTCATTGAGTGTAGCAGATTTTAATGTGCAGTATTCATTGATACAACTTCAGATTCTAACATAACTTGCAGCTTACCTGTTAGAAAATTATTTTTTTACCAACTTTTAATATTAGAGAAAAATAACGATTATTTTGTGAAAAGGCTCTTTAAAAACTCACTTTACCAACTATGCATCTGTGTGAAGTTGTATTTTCTTCATATGCACCAACGAACATAATATGTTGAAGTAGACTGAACACAGATGGGATATTAAACACTAAAGAGATTTGTGAAACTGTAAAATAATGTCACTTTTCTATTTCTTTGGCATACATAATTATCTTTATTTATTTATTTATTTTTTGGTACTGGGGATCGAACTCGGGTCCTTGCGCTTTCCAGGCAGGTGGTGGAACCACTGAGCTAAATCCCCAGCCCCTCATAATTATCTTTATTAAAATATGTATGCTAACATGCATATTTATTGTTACTTTTAAGTGAATTAAGTAATTTTTAAATTTCTTTGTCAATTTCTACTATCATAAACATTGGTAGATATTGCTGACATAAACAAAAGCCCTATAGAGTCCACAATAATTTTTAAGAGTGTAAAGAGTCTTAAGATAAAGTTTGAGAATTACTATCCTCCATTTTCCTGTCCCTCTTCCCCTTGGCCCTCTCACTCTTTTTTTTTTTGAGACTGGGTCTCACTCTGTGTTTCGGGCTGGCCTGGAACTCACTATATAACCGTAGCTGGCCTGCAACTCATGGTGATGTTTTGCCTCAGCCTCCCTAGTGCTGGGATTACAGATGTGTGCCACCACACCCAGCCATCACTACAACTATTCTTCAGTCAACTTAAGAACAGTTAAGTGGCTTTCTTATTTCCACATCTAACACCCATCAAGATTTCTTTAACCTCTCTGAGTCTTTTATGTCAGCCTTTCCCTGACTCTAGAAATCTGACACACTATTTACCTTCATGAGTTATCAGTGCTGTTTAAATTCTTTTTATTTCATCCCTTCCCATCCTATGCATTCCCAGTAGGCAACTTCACTTCAACTTGCTGCCTCAACCATGTATGTATGTATACCCTTAATTCCCACGTAAGAATGTGCACATCGTGAGCATTCTTTGCTGAAACCTCTCTGCTAAGCCCAGACCTTGTAGCCGCTTGGTGCCAGCTCCCCTATATGGTGCAGGCATTTCACAGACCCAGTAATCATCTTTATTTTTCCTCAGTCTCCTTTTCCTCTAACTCTGATCTCGTGAAATTGTTTGGGTTTTTTTGTATTTTTATTTCAAGTGAAATTGTTTTGATATGACTTTCTAAACCTTTTAACACTTTTCTTCTCCATTCTCTCTACTTTTTTTTAGGCTCTCACTTTTGCTCACCTAGATTATCACAAAGTTTTCAAACTCGTCTCCTTGCCTTGATATACATCTCTGCTCCTTTTTATCCAGAGGAATCTACCTAAGAAAATAAGATTGTATGACACACCTCCTTAAAACTTCTGACATGGCTTCCCTGTAAGTTTTAGACAGTATAAGTTAAAACTCCTTGTGTAACACACAAAGCACACTATTAGTTGGCCCTTCGGCTTCTCCAGCCTCATTTCTTCTCCCTTCACATGTGCATCCCGTGGCTAGCCACAGGAGGCTCCTTGCTTGAGCCTAACCCAGGTTGTCCCACCTTTTCCCATGTTATTCCCTCTGCATGGAATTTCCTTTTGAGTTCATCATCATTCCCTTTCACTCACCCTTTCAACCTCTTACTTAACCAGATCTGTCTTGATAATAGTGTATCTTGTGTCTAGATGTTCCCCCAAAGCCTCATGCAGTCTTTTTCAAAGGTGGCTGAATCTAGAGTGTGGTGCTGGGATTAAGGGTGTCTGATTACTAAACCACTACCTGTGAGTGATTGGTTTGGCACCGCCCTAATCCCATAGATTGGATGGGATAAAAGGAGCAGAATGACGCTGTTAAGGCCCCTTGGCTTTTGCTGCCTTCCGGTGCCATGCACTCTTGCCCCTCTGCCACCCTGCCTTGGAGCCAGCTGATTATGGACTGAAACCTCTGCAAACTGTGAGCTACATAAACCTTTCCCCCTTTAACTTTGGGTGTTGGGCATTTTGTCTCAGCAGTGAGAGAAAAGTAACACACCTACCATAGATGTGGTAGTCAAGGAAGACCAAAAAAGAAGTGAATACTAACATAGAAGTCTAGAGAGAAGTAAAAGGATTAACAGCAGTGTTGAAGGCCCAATGAGAAAAGTGTTATCATAAATTGTGTTCACACCAATCTCCTCAGTTATCTGTTTCCCTGCAGCTGTATTTAGCAGATCTGGTATACAAGTGAGATTGTGAGATTTATCTCTGCTTGAAACTCTCCAGGATGGAGTAGTAGAATAAAAGATGATTGAGGAAATAAACGTTCTGTCTGCAGAGTAGTTGAAGTAATGAACCATGGGTTGGTTTTAGTTTAGTAGCAAATGAATTGCAGTCAGGCAGATCTCATGAACTCAAAATTGTGGAGAGGTCAGGGAAGAATACACTCTGTACAAAGTATGTGGTGGCATATATCTTTTAATGCTATGTAAACTATTTCAGTCCTGTTTTTTACTTTTATCAAACAGTACTGCATACGTTTTTAATACTAAATAAGTACTGGTTGAGAAAAATATTTTAAATTTAAAAAGACTTGATTTCTGAACACATCACAGGAATTTTTCAGTTAAAGTCAACTTTTTGCTCTTTTGTACAAATGTCACTTGAAAAATATCTGAGTCAGAACAAAGTCCTTCAGTGTTTATTGATATTTATTGATGGAAAAAGGAAGGAAATGCAGAGTACAATCAGATGGATACATTTCAATATGGCTTTCTCCTTAGGACATCCCCTAGATGACTTTGGAGTATTCCTATGTATAATTTGTTGCCAGTTTTTCATACAATATCCAGTGTATAATATATAAGCTTACAGATTTCACCGGTAAAACCACTGTAAATTTTTAATGAGACTTTTTCATATTTCAGGTCTAGAAGATGAACAAACCAATAACACCATCAACATATGTGCGCTGCCTCAATGTTGGACTAATAAGGAAGCTGTCGGATTTTATTGATCCTCAAGAAGGTTGGAAGAAATTAGCTGTCGCTATTAAAAAACCATCTGGTGATGATAGATACAACCAGTTTCACATAAGGTAACATATAAAATGCTTTTTCTTTCTAAATTCTTACATCACAAGAATGATCAAAGTATAAATACTGTCTAATGTTAAAGTTTAGAAAGTGAACCTACCTGCTGTGGAGATGAGAGCAGTCAGTAATTACTTTTTCTTTTCTTTGCAATTTTTGCTTACTATCCAGCTTTTCAGCTAGACTAGTATTGTGATCTTGTGGTTAAGTTTTTGAGTTAGAATCAAGATTCCTACCTTTCCTCTTGTTCTCTGTTAAACCCAAATCAGTTTGTTCTGCCTCACAGTTTGCATTTCCAGTTTGAAGGACCATGACAATGTCATAAGAATCCCTAGTGAAATTCTGGAGCCTAAATTTCTAAGTGTAAATCTCTAATTCACCCTTAACAGTGTCTTTTGGAAGTTCTTCAAATTGACGTTTTAATGGTTGTTGCTTATAAGTGTACATGCCTACAAACAGACTTGTTAGATCTTAGCCAGGATTTTTCAAAATCATCTGGATAATTTTCATTCTTTCTCTCTAACCATCTCTGCTTATTAGTGTAAAATGTAAGCAAAGATTTTATTTTTGTCAATCATTGAAGGTAAAACTTGTGTCAAAATTTGTCTAATAACAATAGGGAGAAAATTTTATTTTTTTTACAGCTGTAACCTGGTAAAGAACCCAAAGTCTTGGCTCTTATGTTAGTCCTTCCAGAAAATATTACCATATATGAAGGGTAAACATCTTGAATTACTTGGGAGAAGCTCAAATTTAAAACTTGAAAGCCAATTTTTAAAGATTGTTGCTATTACTATTAAAATTTACAGAGAATAGTTGCAGCAGCAGTGTGAGGAAGGAAAAAAGCTCTTCTTTATAGAATAATACTAGCGAATAATGATTAGAATAATGGTAGAATGAGGAAGTTGCCACTTTACAACCAGTGAATAATTGGTTCATTCAAAGCTCGTCAGTGGGCCTAAGAAGTTGCTGATGAACAGGATATGCACAAGATTTTAAAGTATGATCCACAAATTTCTTATGAATTAGGAAGGGTGAAATTTTTTTTATAATGAAGAAATCTAAAATGCACCTTTTTAACTGAATGATCAAACTTAGTGTCACCGATAATATATGATACCATTTTGTGCCTCTGGGTATAATACAGTTGGAAGATCACATTGTCCTCTGTGTAGTGTTCTTACCAAAAATTTTAATCTCAATTTAATCAGGAGAAAGTAGTTGGGTAAATATGGACAGTGGAGAGAGGAGGAGGGAGGGAAGGAGGAAGGTGAGGGAAAGAGAAAACAAATTACCAAGTAGAAAATTAGTGAGTATAGGTGAAGGTTAAATGACTACTCATTGTATTATGCTTCCAACTTTCCTGAAGGTCTGAAGTTTTTTCAAATAAAAAATTTGAAGGAAAAATACTCCAAGCTATGTTGGTTAAGTTCTTAAGTGTTACTTCTTTTAAGAAATGGAATGAAGGGCCGGGGATTTAGCTCAGTGGTTTCGCTGCCTGCTGCGCAAGCGCAAGAACCCAAGTTCAATCCCCAGTACCAAAAAAAAAAAAAAGAAATGGAATGAAAAAAGGATCTGTTTTTCCTTCAATTTCATTAAATGTAGTTAAGATCAAAGGCATAATTCCCTAAGCTCATGCATAGTCTATTTAAGCTGGCCAATTTATTAAAAATTATATAGCCGAGGGCCAAGGATTTAGCCCAGTGGTTTCATCGCCTGCCTCGCAAGCGCAAGGACCCAAGTTTGATCTCCCGTACCAAAAAAAAAACTATATAGCTGGGCCAGGGATTTAGCTCAGTGGTTTGGCCGCCTGCCTTACAGGTGCAAGGTCCTGAGTTTGATCCCCAGTACCACACACACACAAAAATTATATAGCTAACAGAGTTAATAAGTCCAATAGAAAATAATACAGCTAAATAAGTTGAAAGCACATTCTTATGTCAAGAGAGATCTGAATTTGGATCTTAACTTGGAATCACCTTATTGGCTGTGTGGCTGTACCCTCCCTTCCTCCACCCTCTCCCCCACCCCAAGCCTGGCTCTCTCATTAGTAAATCAGTACAATAATCAAAGTAGCTTTATGGAAGTTTATATGTGTGTATCCTACAGCTCACTGTGTATAGACTTATTAAGTACTCAGTAAATATTAACTTTCATTATCATCTTGAGCATCTTTTTTCCTTCTGCCTGTTTTTCCTGCCTCCCTGTAATTTGTGATAGTTCATCTGCTGTCTTTTTCCTTTAATATTATAGAAGGTAGTATGAACAACATAGGGACAGAGGGAATTCATTCCTGTTCTCATATGAACTCGTTATATGCTAACTTTGTTTCTGTCTTACTTGTTTTTAAGGAGATTTGAAGCATTAGTTCAAACTGGAAAAAGTCCCACTTCTGAGTTACTGTTTGACTGGGGTACCACAAATTGCACTGTTGGTGATCTTGTGGATATTTTGATCCAAAATGAGCTTTTTGCTCCTGCAAGTCTTTTGCTGCCAGGTAAACTGGGTGTGACCAGGGTGTCAACAGTTAGGTGAGAAAGATAAAGGGAAGAAATAGAAGTTTCCTCTTACTGTTACTTTTTTCTCTTAATTGACAAACCTTCCACTTGAGTCCCTTTATTCTTTCAGTCCCCCTCCCCAACTTTTTACCAAGCAACTGAGGCGAAGGATTCTGCTGCTAAGGTGATGGAAGCTTCGTAATTGAATCTGATCTACCATTAAAGTCAGATGGCTTGGAGCCAGGAGGAAGTTTAGGTGCCAGGGATTGAACTCAGGACCTTGGGCTTGCAAAGCAGGTGGCAGAACCACTGAGCTAAATCCCCAGCCCCAGGAGGAAGTGTAAATGGATATAAACCTCAGATATGTAGTGTGAGCTAGAAGAAGTTAGTTATTCTTTTGAGCTTTTTTTCAACCTTTAACTTCCACACTGATAGGGCTCCGTGGTCATGATTCCCTTATATTGCATTCTGGTATGTCCGGGCCTAGCTGTCTTCCACATAATCTTACTTTTTTTCCCCTGGATGTCACTTACACCAGTAAATCCCAGGCTTTATTGTACATAAGAATCATTAAATGTTCTTGTTAAACATGTAGATTCCCAGGCCTTTTCCCACTCTGTTGAACTAGGATTCTGGAATTAGGTTCAAGAACTATGTTCTTACACAAGTATTGCGGTGCTTGTGATGCAGATGGTTCACGAACCACTTTTTGTACATGCAGCCTTACTGTCTACCCGTGTCGATCACCAATGACAAATTTTTACTGGGTGGCTTCTTCCGTGTTGTGAGAAGATAGGGGCAACCTAGGCAAACAGAAACGTTGTTCAAGGAACTGAGTTCCGGGTTTAACTTTCTCACAAACACTTCTTCCTATGTGAAGACAACTTGTATCTTACTCCATTTGGCAGATGCTATTCCCAAACCTGTCAATACTGTACCATCTAAAGAAGCTGTAACGGTTCAGCAGCAACACATGCCTTTCTATGAAAAAGGGACCACACCTCCAGCACCCGTGCAGAGCCTTGACCAAGACCATATCCCACGTGACTCCTCAAGTTCAGAAAATAACAGTTTAGAAGTTAGTGATACACGTAAGTAACATTTTCAGTGCTTTTCTCTAGTGGATTTGTCATTGAGATAATCACTGTTATAAAATAAATCTCTCCTTTTGTTTTTTTTAGCAATCAGAAGCACACTGGCAAAAGCTCTTGTGGGGTTTTATCTCCTAATTTATTAAGTACTATTTTCATTGCAGTAGTCATCGGGTTATCAGCGATTAGAAGCAATAGGACATGCAGACAACCCAGGAACTAAGAAAAAATAAGTAAATGTTTATATAACTTGCAGGTCATTTTTTAAAAAAGAAAATATATGACTAGAGAGTTTGGCTTGAGTGGACCACACTCACCAATATGTCATTAGAATTTTGGGCAGGTGATTATATACAGTATTTGATGGATAGTATCACCAAACAGAATTCTCATCATAAAAGTCACAGTTTGTATTTTAAAAATGGTTTTACCCTCTTCTGTCTTGCTTTCCTCCAAGTTATAGTTGGAGATAGTACATACATATATATGTGCATATAGTCCTCAAAGTGAGAAAATATCAAAATTATTACAACCCATTTCCTTTTTATTTAATTGTTTTTTCTTATTTTACTGACATTATAGGTTTTCATTGTTTTTCATTTTATGAATTGAAGAATGTCACAAATGACTTTGATGAGCGACCTATTTCTCTTGGTGGCAATAAAATGGGAGAGGGAGGATTTGGAGTTGTGTATAAAGGCTGTGTGAACAACACAACTGTGGCTGTGAAGAAGCTTGCAGCAGTAAGTTATGTTTTCAAGAATAAAAAATAAAAAAGTTGTTTCCTAAATCAGTGTAAGCTTTAATCTTTAGAAAATACAGTATTTCAGGATTTTCTTTCTTTTTTTCTTTTCTTTTCTTTCACTGGAAATCTAACTCAGGACCTCAGGACTTTGTACTTACAAAGCAGGCGCAGTACCAATGAGCTAAATCCCCAGCCTTGTACTTTATTTAAATAAATACTATACTAAGCTCATAATTCTTAACATTTAAAAATCTGGTGAGAGTTATGAACCCCATCCTAGAAAAATGTAGTCATGCACACGTACTTAGGATCAGATAATTTTGAGAGATTCACAAAATAAAGTTGAGGTCTCCTTTACACACTGCTTCAAGTACAAACAAGATTAAAATAGTAACAATACTAAGAAAAATTTATGTGAGTATATTTGCATTACTTTTCTCGTTTAAAAAGTTTGGAAAACACATTAAGAGATCAAAAAATTTCATCTCTTTTTCCCATTTCCGTTGAGCTTTTCACTTTATGCTTGGTAATTTCTTCTATTGTAAGCCTGTTATTACATTGTAAGTCACTTTTTGTCATATAAGTTGAAAATACTTTTGCAGGTTTTGATTTTCTGTTTGCATTCAGATTTGCTTGTCTTCTACTACAGATTTTTTCCCAAAAAATGTTCTGTGCAATGAAGTCTTGTATTATTTTATTTTGTTCTTAAAACAATTCAGTGAGGTTTATATTTTTTTCCATTCACTTACAAACCATGGACGTTGAGCAAATCATTCATAATTCTAGATCTCTATAAAATGAGAGTAATACCTTATGATTTTAAAGAAAGCAAATCAGTTCTCTTTCTCTTGAGCCACCTTTCAGCTTTAGGAACCATGGGATTATCATATTGTATCATATTGTATATACTTTTTTTCAGATGGTTGACATTAGCACTGAAGAACTGAAACAACAGTTTGATCAGGAAATAAAAGTAATGGCAAAGTAAGTATTAATTTTGCAGTGTGGTGTAGGAAAAAGGAACAAGACAAAGTGTGAGATTCTGGTTTCCTATCCAAAGTGTACCATGAACTAGGGATTTTTGCAAATACAGATATATAATATTAAATCAAAGTATTTAGACTACTAATTTGGGCTCTTCAGTTCTGTGACATATGTATACTCATATGCCTGTATGTTAATAGCAATCAGCATTTTAATATTTTTGGGGGGGGTACCGGGAATTGAACTTGGGACCTTGCGCTTGTGAGGCAGGCGCCAGAACCACTGAGTTAAATCCCCAGCCCTAGTCAGCGTTTTAAATCACGGTAATGTTACATGGAATTTCTGTTATCTTCAGTTACCTTATTTTCTGCTCCCAGAATTCATGAGAAATCAATTGTAGAGATACTTAAAAAAGAAAAAAACTATAGAATAACAGGCCCTTAGATGAGGTAACACTTGTAAAGTAACTAGAGAAGTATTATATGCAAAGATGTTTAGAAGGCATTGACCCACAATACTGAGATATTATTAATCATCATGGGGAAGGGTAGGAAAATCAAGTCAGGAATTTATTTTAGTAATTACAGTGATTGATATTTGAATACATATAACATGCAGACAACTGTGCTATGTACTTTTTGTGCATTTAATCGCCTCAACAACTGATGTGACCTCTTTTTTTAAACAAAAATTTGGAAACATTAAATAACTTGCCCTAGGTCACATACCAGTATTGTTAGAGATGGAATTCAAATCTAGATCTGATCCCAGAGTTTGAGCTTTTGATCTGAATCCTAATAGGATTTATCAAATCACATGCATGAGGCCATTGCTATATATCATCACTCCTAGTTACATAACCTTAAGAAATAATTAATGGGCCTCCCCATTAATTGATTTGCCTCCATAAAAATGATACACACTGTAAGAAGATCAAAACTCTTTTTTCAGGATTTCTGTTTCCTACCTCCATTTGCCAGTTCTAAAAGTAACTTGTTCAAAGTAGATAATCAGGGAAATACAGGTAAATATGTTTTAAATAATAAAAAACCATCTCTTAAAATACTCAGAGATAATCACTGCTAATAGTTTGATGTGCTTGCTTGAAGATGTGTATGTGGCATTTTCCCGTGTCATTAAAATTGTTTGAAGGGCTGGGGATTTAGCTCAGCAGTTCCGGCGCCTGCCTCGAAAGTGCAAGGACCCGAGTTCAATCCCCAGTACCAAAAAAAAAAAAATTGTTTGAAAACATTTTAAATTATTTACAACATTCTAGCACAGATGAAGATCATATTTTACCAAATTTTTCTAATCTAATTTTCAGTATTACAAATTAAAGTTCCTTTAAAGTTGCTTATGTATAAATCATTAAATCCACTTCTGCTTATTTCATCAAGATACAGTCCTAGGCAAGGGTTATTAGTTCAGAATGTATGAACTTTCAGAGACTTTCCAAATATATGTTCAGATTGCTTCATAGATAATTAGTGGTAATTTACTACCACTGACTGATCCCAGAGCCATGCACATGCTAAGCATGTGCTCTGCCACTGAGCTATACGCAGCACCAAATAATGGTAACTTATATTCCTGTCATCAATGTATTACAGTTTCAAGCTTCATTACTACCTTATTACCACTGAGTACAAGCTTTACCATTTTTTAATAAGTGCCAGTCTCTGGACCTTACTTGCAGAATAACCTCAGGCAAGTTTCTTAACTCTGTCCATTGGTTTTCTCATCTGTAGAATGGGATAATTGTAACCTATTTTGAAGATGAAATAAAACAAACCAGATAAATCATCAAAGTACCTTATAGATAATATATGCAGAAAATGTTAACTACTCATTTAAAATATGGCAATTTGGTGGAAAATGGAGCACTTCAGTTTATACTTCTGAAAATATGTATGTAGGTAGAGAAAGTGATTTGGTAAAAAGTATCGCCATAATTATAGATCATTTCTGAGTGAACAGAACGAGTAAGCACAGGATGGATCATTTATCATGTACCGGGTACGTTTCTAGGCTCACATATATTTCCTCATTTAATTCTTGTAGCATCCATATGATCTAACAGGTAATATTTTCTATGCTGGGAAGTTAAAGGAGCAGAGGCTCAGTGAAGTTGTTAACTGGCCGTAGGTCACATATAGCAGAGATAGACCTTCAGTTTAAGACTTGGAACACTCAGCCTTGCTATCCCGCAGATGCCTGCAGTTTTGTTATACTGCATCTCTTTAGTTTTATTACTCTCAAATGTGCTAAAAAGTCTCATTGTTATAGATAATCAGATACAATTAAAGATCAGAGATGTGTGAACTTGATGTGATTAAAGATGCTTTGAGCATTTAGGGAGTATTTTAACATGTTACAGAATTCTTGAAAGTATTATAAAAGTTTCAGTAGACTTTTCTGGAATCATTTTTGTGTAATCAATGTAGGCATAAACATGTACTACATTATAAATGGTCTATAACATTCTGTTTTTTTCTCTCAATTGAATAGCGTTTAACCTGCAGCTGAATATATGTTCATGACCATAATTACCCATGCAAAATTATTTGTCACAGGTGTCAACATGAAAATCTAGTAGAACTGCTTGGTTTTTCGAGTGATGGCGATGATCTCTGCTTAGTGTATGTCTACATGCCCAACGGTTCATTGCTAGACAGATTGTCTTGCTTGGTAAGATATTTACTATAAGATGTTATTCATAAGACTGTTTAGCTTTCTGTTTCTATGTTGCAATACTAATACTTTGTGACAGGATCATGTAAGGCACATTAAACATAATATGTTTTCTGTTTTGTAAAAATTGACCATTTTTATGGAAACCACTGGGATTGCCAGTCTCTTTGGTGAGAATCTAAAACAAAACTATCAGTCAAGCCTAGACTTTGAAGTTGCTCATTTATATTTTTGTCTTCAAATAGTGAGTGTTAATCCCTATTTGATCTTATTTAGAAATTATGTTTATCAATTTAAAAAAATTAACAGTCCTCAATTCTTAGTGACTTAATATCATTTTCAGTTGTTGCCTAGAAAAATATTGGTATATGTTTCTCTACAGATCTTTTCTTATCCTCTTTTTTTATAAATTGGTTTATTTCTTCATAAGGATGGTACTCCACCACTTTCTTGGCACATGAGATGCAAGATTGCTCAGGGTGCAGCTAATGGCATCAGTTTTTTACATGAAAACCATCATATTCATAGAGATATTAAAAGGTAAATGCTACTGTGAAAAATCTTTTAGAAAAGCCATCTTTAAAGAATAATTTCCTCTCACTATTTTTGTTTACTATTCCACGTACATGACTTAACTTAGAGCAGCTAGACTTTTTTCCCCATGACTCCATGAACGTTCTTCTCTTTAAGGACATCTGTAATCTCCTTTATTCTAAACCCAGTGACCTGTTTCCAGTAGTCCTCCTACTTGACTTGTTTTTTATTGCCTGTGAAAATTTGTTTCTTTCTTAGCTTCTGCATTGCAACTGTTTTCTGAGTCACCGTCATCCTCTGTAAGTTCTTTCAGTTCTCAGACTATACATGAAGCAGTATATGTAGAGTTTGATATCATTCAGATTACAGAACAATAATAAAATTTAGTGTTATTATAAAGATCAGTTCCCAAGGAAATGATATCTAAGCTGCAATCCAAAGAATGAACAGGAAATAAGGAGGCACAACTGGAAGATGACTGTAGGAGAGGGGTAGAAAAACATTCTAGGCAGAGGAACCACGTTTGTAAGACCATAGTGAGAGAGAATATGGGAACATGATCGGTTACAAGAAGGGAAATAAATGCTGTAATGATATGCAAAAAGTGAGGAGGTGATGGAGGTAAAATAAAATGAAACAGATAGGAAGGAGCTTAATCCTGTAGGACCTGGTAGACCAAAGTGAGGATTTTAGTTTTATTGTAAGTGTAATGAAATGCTGTTGAAGAAGTAAAATGTGGCATCATATTTAAATTTTGCAATGAGCACATGGACTGTAGTGTAGAGAGCAGCTTGTAAGAAGAGATAGTGGTGATCATAGATGTCCTAGTGGTGGCAATTCCTGTGAAGAGACATGAGCAGCTTTGAGATTAAGATAGTGGAATGTGCTGATATCTTGGCTATGGGTAGATCAGGGAGAGGAAAATGTCAGGAATGACCCCTGGAATTATGGCATCCAGAAGTACACTCTGGAATGAGTTTGGCCTGAATCACTTTATACAGATAAGGGTAGGGGTAAAAAATGTGAATTTTCTTTTATACATGTTGTGTGTTAGTTTATTTTAAGATATAAAAGTGGAGATGTTAGTGTGATATGCAGGTTTGGAGCTGAAGTCTGAATTGAAGATATAAATGTGTATATTACTTATGTACACTTGATAATTGAGTTATCTAATTATAGCTACTTAAAGGATAAGAAAAATGCCCAAGATTAAGGCTTAAGGAACCCCAAGACTTATGGTGAAGTAGAAGAGAATAATCCGAAAAAGAAACCTAAGAAAGTATACATGCGCAAAGGTAAGATAGGGAGATTGCAGGGAGATCGAGTGCTTCAGCTACTGGATTAGTATCATGAAGGTCATTAATGACTTTATGGAGACCCATTTCCGTGTAGTAGTTGAGTCAGAAGTCAGGTTGCCGTTGAGGATGAAGTAGGAGCTTTAGAAAACGGAGATTTCCAAATAGGTAGGTCTTTAAGATACTTTGCTACTAAAGTGTGATACCTGGAAATAAATGTGTCATTCCAGAAACAGTTTTTAAGATGACAAAGATTATTGCATGCTTATATGTTTATGGGATGGAACCAGATAAGAGAGAATATAATAGAAGACAGGAGTGAACTAAGTCATAAAGGAAGGTTTCTGGAAATGCAGGAAGGATCCCAAGCAAAAGCACTAACTGTGGAAAGGATGAGAAATATCACTATCCCATGTTCTTGCCTTAATATGTCTTCTGTTCTTCTACATGTTCTTACTGAATGATATGTAGATTTGACCTGCTACCCATATGTAGTGACTCAAATCTGTAACATCAGCTTAGTCCTATATTTTCAGTATCCTATACCAAAACACCTCACCTGGATTGCCTCTAAGCCTGTACTTCAGAAATCAAATTCATCATCTCTTCAACTCAAAAGCTTTTTTCCTGTGTTTTCTTTCTGATCAGAAAAAGTCACTATTCACTCTGTCTCCCATACTTAAGGCTTTCTTATTCTCTATGCCCCTTACAAAGTTCTGTTATGTGTACCTGAAAATTTGCACTTTACTTTTTCGCCCAGTGTTCTGTCTCTGTTTAAGAGTTTGTTATTTTTGCTGGCTTCATTATAAACCTTCTAGTTGACCTAAAACTAGTCTGTACTACTTCTCATCTATTCACCACAACACTGCCAGGCTATAGTCCTAAAGTCAAGTCCAGTAACATCAGTTACCTTCAATGGAAACTTCACATAGTTTCGTATCACTTAGAGGATAGAGTTCAGATTCTCTCCGGGTTCTTTAGACACTACTTTCTCGACATTGATCGTATATACCCTGTTCTTTCATGGTTTTTCATCACTTTGTACATGTTGGTCCATTTGCCTGATGTGCCTTTTTTTCCATTATCTATCAACTTGTAATAATCCTTAAGACTAAGCCTATTTCTCACTGCCTCTTTGGAGTTTTTCTCAATTCTTATAGGCACATGATTGTTCTCTCAGCTTTTTATCCCTATTACCATCATGTAGTACTTACTAATTTAAAAAAATATTCATATGTGTTGGTCACAGATAAAGTCCTAAGCGTTCCCCTATATTTAGCTCTGAGCTTAAATACTACAATACATGTGGAGCTCAATAAGGTTGTGTTGAATGAATAAATGAATGCATATAATGAATAAATTAAGGTCTTTTAGCCATAATCTTTCCTCTTCACAAGATTCCAGATGGCACAGAGAAAAAATAGTTTGAGGAAATGAATAATTGAGTTATTTTGGAAATTTGTTTTTTAAAAAATTGAAAAAATTTAGGAAAGAAATTAAGGATGGTACTTTTGGCATATTTCAAAGCCAGTCATTAAAAAAATACCATCTGGTCTCAATCTTATAGGAGAATAGACTAGAACAGAGCAGAACAGAAAAAATAGCATAGAATAGTATAGAAATTTGGGAAGAGCAAAGGTTGGGGAACAGAAAGACGTTCATAGAGGAGACCCAAGCACAGTTGGAGTGCAGGAAACACTTCTGCTGCTTCTTTAGCACAGTAGGATGGCTGTGGGTTAAAATAACATAATGACATACCTGAAAATGACAGACAAGAAAGAGTATGAAAATCCCAGTACATAAAAATTATTGTTTAGGTGGCCAGGGATTTAGCTCAGTGGCACCACTTCTGCCTCGGAAGTACAAGGTCATGAGTTCGATCCCCGGTACCAAAAAAAAAATTATTGTTTAAAAAGATAGACTTTTCACCCTATTTTGTTTATTACATTGTATACATGTATTGAATTACCATAATGTACAAATAGTATGTTGTAATAAAAATAAGTAAATAAAATTTAAAAAGAAAAAGAAGGTACTTTTGGGCCAGGGCTGTAGCTCAATGGTAAAGCACTTGTCTATCATGCAGAAGGCCCTGAATTCAATCCCTTTGAGAAAGAAAGAAAGAGAGAGGCAAGGAAGAGGGAGGGAGAAAGAAAAGGCAAAGAAAGGAAAGAAGGGAGGAGAGAGAAGGAAAGGAAGAAAGAAAGGGAGGGAAAGAAAGTGGAAAGAAGGAAGATAGAGAAAAAGAAAAATGATACTTTGTAAGACTTTGTAGGAAGTTACCCTATAAAAAGTTGTTTGTAGAATAATAGAAGTATCCCTCTTGTTTAGAAAGCTTCATTTGTTTTTTAGAAAACCTTATTTTATTTTTACTCTTATAAATGTTCTCTGAGAAACAGAAAGGAAAACAATCATTTCTCTTTAGCTCTAGTGTGAATTCCAGATACACAAATTTTAGATTTTTATGATATTTACTATAAAGTGTCATACAGTATAAATATACATGAAAAGAAAAAATTTCTTCTTCAAAATTTAAATGTTTTCAGTGCAAATATCTTATTAGATGAAGACTTCACTGCCAAAATATCTGACTTTGGGCTTGCACGGGCTTCTGAGAAGTTTGCCCAGACAGTCATGACCAGCAGGGTTGTAGGCACCACAGCTTACATGGCACCTGAAGCTCTGCGAGGAGAAATAACACCCAAGTCCGACATCTATAGCTTTGGTGTGGTGAGTTACCTGTAGTAACCATCCTTCCACAGTTGTGAAATTAAAGTAGAATATTTTAATATACTCTTTTCTTGCTCAGCTCTCATATATATATACATATATATATTTTTTTTCACTTTAACCTTGAGTTACACCAGACAGTTTGTAAGAACTCTCAGTGTGTAAAAAATTTTAGTTGATTTTTGAAATTACTGCAGGAAATGATTTTGTTGTCACCTAGCCTCATGAAGTAGGGTGAAGCTTAAATCAAAGCATAAAATGACATCATACAATACATACTTTAGTCTCTGATTTTTTTTTAACATTTTCTGATCTAACAGTCTATTCCTAAACAGTTTTGAGATAAAAGGGTAAGTGTGGGTACTTGGAGAAATTAGGAGCTTTTTAATTCATCTTATTTTTTCATGTATGTTTCAAGTGTGGAAATTTGACTTCATTGCACTGTCAAGTAAAGGCACAGTTTACAGAATATGCCTAATGTTTAGAAAATAATGTTCTCCTAGAAGACAGAGGAAATTATTCTTGTGAAAAATCCCCTACAAGAGAGGAAAGGGATTGAGAGTTTCCAGAATACATGTTGAGTGGAGCTAGTTCTTTAGTAAGTTGTCAGTGGAAAGGAATGCTTGTGGACATTACGGGCTCCATGGAGTCTGGGAAGGAAAGGTGATGAGAAACACCCACAGCTTGTGCTCTTCCGTGTTAAGACCTAAAAGCTGTGTGTTTTGTGCAGAAACTACTCACCAGAGTTCAGAATCATGATCCAACTTGCTGGGCTAGGGGTATAACTCAGGGTTCGATCCTTGGCACCACAAAATTTTCAAAAATCCCATTTTGCTTTTGGTTTCTATATGTTGTCTTAAGTGTTGTGTCAGTGGATTTCTTTTTTCTTCATAGGTTTTATTGGAAATAATAACTGGACTTCCAGCTGTGGATGAAAAACGTGAACCTCAGTTATTAGTAAGCAAAAGATTCATGTTTTTCTGTCTCTTCTCTTTTGCATTTATAGTCCTCATACATATGGGTAACTTCTTGGCATCTGAAGATATTTTCCATCAGTGATGTTTTTCACTGACTATATAAAATGCATATTATGGAAATATGGAAAGAGCATTAAATATTTCTAATCTCAGGTCACCCATGAAATATTTGTAAAGCCTAGAAAAATCATATATATTCATTCTAATTTCTTTGACTAAAATGAGACTAGAACTGGCCGGGGATTTAGCTCAGTGGTTCCACTGCCTCGCAAGCACAAAGTCCAGAGTTCGATCCCCAGTAGCAAAAAAAAATGAGACTAGAACTAAAGGATTTCTGAGGTCACTTAGTTTATTTTTGTTATTTTTAGAGTGGGTTACCAATAGTATTTTGAGCTCAGTAAGAAAGAAAAAAATCATGGCTTCCATTCAAATTCGTGTCAGAATACAATTGCTAGTAAAAATTCTCTAATTCAATTTTGGAGTACTTTATTTGTGAAATTATCATAGAAAACACTGTCTAATTTTTTATAGTAGACATTTCATTGATAACTTATAAGCAGGATAACTGAATGGTAAAACAATAGGAAAATTATGCCATGTTGTTTTGTTTCTATGCAGTAAATTTTGAAAACTTTGAGAACCACTTTTATAAAATTAAAGATTTATGGAAATATCTACTATCATGTGTAAGTTTTTCGTAAAATTAGGTAAACATCTACACTGACTTGTATTCTAATTTCTGTGAACTAATGGGAAAAACCAATGCCACAAATCCAGAGGGTAAAAATTTGTATATATATATATCAATTATATATATTATATATAATTGATATATATATAATTTTTTATATATATATCAGATTATGTCCCCTAGAATTGAAATTAGAAAGGTTAATTTATTTGCTCAAAGGTCTGGTGCCATACACTGCTGAGGAAATCATAAGTATAAAATCTATGTGAAATAGTTTATTACATGTTCATTATAAAACTGTATATTATAAAGCTTTCTATGCTATAATGGAAATTTAATAGTGCTATATTACATAAAATATATTTCAGATTGGAAAATATGTATAGAAGATAGTATTATGAAAAGTTACCAATTAGTAATATTTAAATTTTTACAGTGACACATTAAAAAGTAAAATTTTGTTTTAGAAAAATAAAATTCACTCTCTCATTGGTTATTGGAGGTCAGGAAAGAAGCCTGTGCTGGAGATGCTGTGTGTGTGTGTGTGTGTGTGTGTGTGTGTGTGTGTGTGTACACGCGCGCGCACGCGCACACACACACACATATACATATGTACATTGCCCAAGCTGGGCTCAATCTTGCCATCTTCCTGACTCAGCCTCCCAGAGTACACTATGAATACAGGCATGTATCACCACATCCTGAAAGAGGTGCCATTTTTGAACCATTCAATATGCAGACATTGGCAGAGCGTTGGATATAGATTGGATTATGTAAAGAAAGTATATATATTAAAAATACAAGAGGAAGCCAGGCGTGGTGCCACATGCCTGTAATTCCAGCATTTAGGAGCCTGAGGCAGGAGGATCACTGCAATTATATGGCCAGCCTGCACTACAGAGCAAGCCCCTGACTCAAAAAAATAAAATAAAAATACAAGAGAAGAAGGGGGAAAAAGAGGCAGGGAAGGCTGAAGGTGGCACTTAGTATTTCAGTATCTTACAATTTGTGCTTTTTAGGCAAAGCCTGCCTGTATAAAGTCCTAAATTTTCTGTGCAATTACTTAAGACTTTTTTCACCTCAAAGTATATAAACACCTCATAACTTTGGCTTGAGTAAGGATAAGTAAAGAAGAATACAGAATCTCTCATGGTCATAAGTTTTGTACTTCCTCATTTAGTGGTAAAGAGTCATAAAGCTTCAGGGAGGATTATACTCTTTCACCCATTCTTAAGGTTTAAACATGATGTGACTGTAAGATTTTAATGCAAGTACCACTGAGAGGGGTCCTTTAATAAGCCTTTATATCACTAGATTTTGCCATTGCCCAAACACTTTCAAAGATTATTTTTTGGAAAGGTTTTTGGAATGTTTATATTGTACCTCTCATAAATAATCTTTTCCATCTATACTATTTCCATGGGCTACCACGGAAAAAAAGCACAAACTGGGTGACTTAAAGTGACAAAAATTTATTGTCTCACAATTCAGGAGGCCAGAAGCCTGAAATCAAGATGTCAGCAATTCTGTGTCCAGGGGAGGATCTCTCCTTGCTTCCCTCCAGCTTCTGACCACATTCTTTGACTTCCACCCCATCACTCCAGTCTCTGCTTTCTGGCCACATAGTCTTCTCTATGTCTTTCTTCCTCTTTGTGTCTCATATACAGATGGTTGTCATTGGATTTAGTGGCCATCTTCATTTACAAAACCTTTTTTTTCCTGGTAAGATGACCTTCATAGGTTCCAGGAATTTGGAGGTCACCATTCAACCCATCCTAGTAATGCTGTACACCTCTCTCCCATTCATTATTTTTTTTTATCATGGGCTTGCCTCCTTTTTCTTTTTGATTTTTTGGGGGCAGACAGGAGATATGAGTCCAAAAGCACAGCAAGAATTAGATCACCTTGTGCTGCTGATGGGAACACATAAGCAATGAGCTCATAACATAAAGACAAAATTTTAGAAGCCAAATGGGTAAAAGTGTCTAAGAGCAAAAATCAATCTGTTTGTTTAAGATTTGTCCTATTATATGTCTTCAAGTCTTAATAAAGTCATAGAAGAAGATAGTTAAATGAAAGTACATGTTATTAAAAAGTAGGTAAGTAGGGCCGGGGATTTAGCTCTGGTTTTGTCCCCTGCTGCGCAAGTGCAAGGACCCGAGTTTGATCCCTGGTATCAAAAAAAAAAAAAAAAGTAGGTAAGTTTAAATAATTAAAAGTCATAGTCAAAAAATATTATAGTCTAGTTTATTTCACTTTTATTTGAAACTTTTAACAAAGTTTTAATACTCTAAGCTGGATATTAAAGAAGAAATCGAAGATGAAGAAAAGACAATTGAAGATTATATTGATGTGAAGATAAATGATGCTGATTCCACTTCAGTTGAAACTATGTACTCTGTTGCTAGTCAATGTCTGCATGAAAAGAAAAATAGGAGACCAGATATTAAGAAGGTATTAACTTTTTACATTCATTTAAAAAGCAAAAGGGGATAGGGCTCATCCTTTTTTCCTACGAGTACATTTCAAACCAGCTGTGCAATGATTCTTTTGTCTGTTCTTTTTAAAAGGTTCAACAGCAGCTGCAAGAGATAACAGCTTCCTAAAACTTTAGACTCTTTAACTTTTTATATACAGCTATCTACACTATTTTTAAAATTATCTTTTTGCTAAGCCTTCTTTATCTTTATCAAGGCAGCATGGGACAATGCAGTGGTTATTGAAGCATGTATTGAATCTAACAAATCAAAGTAGTGCCATCATATCAACACTTAGCTCTACTCACTTAGTGCCAACCTGGGATTCGCATTAATCCCTAAAACATTTCCTTCAAACATCACCAAACACAGTTGGAAAACTTACAGCACTGGGCTGAAAGACGCTGGTCTGAAGGCCAACTGACCCCACTACTAACCTGCTGAAAACTGGACAAACTCTTAGCTCCCTTGAGCCTTGTTTTTCTGTCTATAACATTGGATAAATACCCACTGTGCTTCCCTGACAGTCATGAAAATAAGTGATGCAAAATATACATTTTGTAAATATTAAAGTGATACAACATTTAAAGTTTCTAGATGCAGTTATAAAATCATGTTCACATTATTTGCAACATTCACCACAAAGCAAGTATCAACTAATGACATGCCAATGATGATATAACCATTGTTAGCCTGTATTATACAGCAAAGTTAAAAGGATTTTGCAGGTGCAGTTAAGGGCCTAATCAGCTGACTTTGAGTATCAAAAGGCAAACTGTGTAGAATAAGGCCTGGGGGAATCAGGTGTACCCTGACAGAAAGTTGAGAGATTCTCCTGTGGGCCTTGAAGTAGTGAGTACCCTGGTATGAGAGGTCCACACCAGCCAGAACCTACAGGAGTCGCAAGCAGATGAGAGCTACCCTCCAACTCCAGCCAACAGGAAACAAATATGGCCTCAGTTGTACAACCCAAGGACGGAAGCCTGCCAGCAGGCTGAAAGGACTAAGAATACTGCAACTTTCTGATGATACCGCAGTCCTGGATGACAACTACATTTCCATTGTGTGAGATGCTCAGCATAAGACCTGTTTGAGATATGCCAGGACCTCTGCCATACTGAACTGTGAAATAATAAATGAGTTGCATTAAGCAACTGAAGCTGTGGTAATTTATTATGTAGCAATAGAAAATGAATACAGAGACTCCTATGATGATTCTTCTGTGGTGATCTCATCATGCTTACAGTAGACCAGGAGGTTTAGGGTACTAGCTTTTGCTTTTCATCAGGCTTTGGTCTTTTGTAATTTGCTGTTTTCACTGCAGAGAGTGAAACACCTCTACTAGTAGTGGCAAATACATTTTTTAAAAATGATTTTTAACTATTTCTTCTAAGCTTAAAATTCTTAGTTTATATCATTTGAAAATTCATTTTGTACATTTGGGTGAGCAGAAGGAATGGACAAAAAATCTACTATGTGTGGAAGGAATACCTAGTATCTGCATCTGTTTGCTCATTCAGTAACCACTTTGTTACTAGGTTTTTCAGTTCAAACCCAGAACAAAAGTGTGTAAAGCGAGATGTAGCAGAAGATGATCATCCTTTATGGCATACTGTTGAGACCTTCCGAAACAGTCTTCTGGGAAACAAAGAACATTTTCCTAATGACCTTTATAAATTAAGTAAGCAGAAATGAAACATTTGGTAATTGGAAAGGAAAAAGGCAAATAATAATATTACTTAATTCAAATTAATCTCAACAGGAACCTACACAATTTGAGACATATGGTTTATAACACCTGGTAATTATTTTAAATATAATTAATGTTAAATTTGGTAATTGAAAAACATGTAAAATAGCATATATGTAGTTTTATGGATTCTGATCACACTATAAAAATTTTAATAAACTGTTTCATTGATTTTCAAAATCATAATTTGAGACATTTCTATTTCATCAAATGCAGTTGATATCGTATTTATGAATCTTTGGCCTAACTTCCCATACATAAGATGTACCTTAACTCTTGAAGGCAATAATATAGTAAATTAAGCTACCAAAGTAGAGGTTAAGTACATGGTTTCTTCCAATGGCCTGAAGGTTTCTAAACCATCACAGACCTCTGATCTTGTGTGACTCTTAACTATGAGAATGAACAAGCAGAGTGGTTGCCCTCAGCTGGTACTGGACATGACTTGTGCGAAAGTTCTGAAGAGAAATAATGTGCAGGCCCCTTTTAATTGTTTCCCACAAGGCAGACTTGGAGGTTCTGTGGTGACAGCTAGGTAGAGCTTTCTTTTTTTGAAAGATGTATCCCCCTAATTTTTAAATACAAAAAAAAAAAAGGATTTTGTAGACACATTTAACAGAGGGTTTATAAACTTTGGTACTTTCATGTTGCCTCCAACAACTTGCATAAACTAGTGAGTGATGATAGCATAGTTGAGAACCACTGGCCTACCTAGTCTTTAGAAAGAGTAACCACGTTTCTGTATTTCTGACACATTGTTTTATGGATTAGCCAGTTTTAATTTTTTAATTATAAGCTTCTCAATGTTCTATGAGCAGATGTTAAGAATATTGTCATTATTTTTAGTTTCCTGACATCATGACCATTCTGTAGCTAGATTGTATCTTTCTAGATAATGGTTCCACCTTTTTTAAGAACTTAAAATTTAACAAAGGACTGCAGCCTAGCTCCTTCCAGTGACTGAACTTTTATTATAAGGAAATTCAGCAGGAAGCTGTAGGTTCAATCCCCAGCACAGCGAAGGGGTCGGGGTGGGGATGGGATAGAAATGCATACTACCAACTACACTTAAAACTGCAAGACTTTTGCTATCATAAATTAGTATTCCTAAAGATAAACTGAACCATAGCTGGATAAAAACCTTAGTATCACTTCCCTTAATAATTTTCTTCGGTCAGGCATTCATAGCTCCTGAGTCAGTGGAAGAAACATGCTATCATCACTCTGCTTTAGGAAGTACTGCCATACCACGGAAATATTTAGGCCTAGGAAATGGCAAAAGACCTCTGAAAATTTACCCTTCCATGAAAACAATGAAAAAAATAGAACCAGAATCTAACCAAAGGCCACAATTAAGGAAGAGTTTACCCGGTAAGAGTAAGCTCTGCGGCAGTTTTAACATCCCAATCCCATGTCTTACCTCCTGGCTTAGTCACCTTGAAAACAGCAGCCTCCAGTGGCAGGTTCTCCAGCTGAACAGGACAGTGGTCATCCCCTTCCTCTTGCAGGTTTACACATTAAAATATTGGACAAAAAAGGAGCAGAGCCATATTTCACAATGCCCAGTTACACTGGATCTCTTAGGATCTGCCCCCTTGGGAACAACCATTTCTGACAGTCTGAATTTAACCACATCTAAGAATTGTTGCTCTAGACAAAGACATTGATCTCACTGTAGTTAATTAACAAGGATGGAGGGTCAGATGGGACGATCACATAGGAAATCCTGGTCAGGGTTCAGGGAGACTTTATTATCAATAAAGCTTATCCCTGTCACTGGAGGAATAGCTGGAACTGACAACTGGGCAGACTTAACTGTAACAGGTTCAAGCAGCACATCACACCACTGCAGAGAAAAGGCGCACCCCCCCTGAAGTATACATTGAAGTGCTTTCTCAAAATAAAGCCCTCCCTGCTTCCCACAGCTGATGTGTAGCCTTAAAGTCAGTGAAGCCACAAGGATTGGTGCTATCTTATTAAATGTAGTCTATCCTGGAGTCTTTCATAGATGGAGAAGAGGAATGTGCATCCTGGCTGTCCTTCCTGGCTGCCATGATGTGAGCAGACTAATTAGTAAATGACCACATGAATATGATTTCTGACTTATCAGCAAGTATTTAGTCAAAATTAGTCAAGCATTAAAAGAAGGTATACTAGAAAAATGGCACAAAATGTACACAACTTAAAGAGAAAAAATTTTTATTGCTATATAAAATGCACTTATAAAATGTCCACAGAAGGCATGTAATTTTTGACTGCAATATAAATTTATTGGGAATGTTATTCATCATCTAGTGTCACCTAAAACAATATAAACAATGAGTTATATTCGAAAACAAACACATCACTGATTCTCAGCAATCATTGATTTAATAATTAGTTTCAGATTATATAATCACATCTATATTCTGGAATGTCCATTTTCTTTCATGTAGTGTAGTGGAATTTTGAGTACAATTGCACATGAATCGTACAGGAAAAACATTCACTAGTAAATTATTTTATATCTTCATGACAGGTAATTGTCCTGACTGAAAATTACAGCTTCAGCTATGGTCTACAACACAGCTCCAGGATTCTTAATGCAATAATTTGTGTGTGTATGTATCTATTTGTGCACCCATGGAAAAAAAAGTGTATCTTTAGTAAACAAGTACAACATTATTGTTGACTATTCTGAAAGTTTAAATAGTCTAATTATTTGTAAACAAACAAAAATCCACACAAATACTCTTAATTCTATCTTTAAAAATCTGTCAAACCATAATTATATGCTTTACTTCAACACACATGGAATTTCAGAAAGGTGCATGTATTACCTTAGATATTAAGGTTTAGCAAGGAGTGCTTCATATTTTATATTATGAAATGTGTATTTTTACTATTTGTTTTATGCAGCATGAAGTTTAGGTCAAGAAATTCCAAATCCTGGATACCCACAGTTCACTTAGAAAATTCCTCCAAGTTATGGCTCTGCAGCAGGTTTAACAGATTAAATATGAAGTGTTCTAGCTCCCTCTATTTCAAGTATCAAAGAAATACGAGGCTCAAAATCTCTCTACCTTGTAAATGAAGATGCAAAGCTTTAGAGAAAAGTTAAATATGTTTTGAAATAAGGTATTAAAGGAAACAAGATTCATAGGCTAAGTGTTTATCTGTGTTAGGCTGTTTAGCATTAGGACTCCAAAACAATTTTCAATTTCTATATTTGCTAAAAAGTGATAAAGAACTCAATCTGCCTATAAATGGTTTTGGAGAAAAAAATTCTGAAACTCAACATTTTCATTTGTTTCCTTTAGAATGATAGTAACTTAAATCTTTAATCTGAACATGAACATTTGGCCTCACAGTACTCAAAATGAAATGATTTACTCTGGAAAGAAACATTTTTTAAAGTACTAGAAAAAAGAACTGACTGTTTAAAGTCAATGGCAACAGAAATTTTGCAGTATAGGAAATATCTGGTACCCTAGTTTCAGAATGAGCTGATCTTCAGAAATCTTAATGCCATTAAAAAAAACCTAAAAAGTCAAATCTAAAAAACTGCTGCGATAAAGCACTATTTGTAAAAGTCGCAGACTTGATCACAGACTGACAAAAGAGTTAGCATTGCTCCTTAGAGTAAGCAACTTTCCACCTTTCCTGAGGCACACTAAAATTTCAGCTTAGAAAATAATCTAACCTGGTCCTTAACATATTCAGCAAGTAGTATGAATATTTAAGGTCTGATTCTCTTAAAAAAAAAATCAGATGTCTCACTAAAGAGTAATAAGAAATATACCCTACTTTAAGACATTCAACTTTCTCAAACTGACCCAACTATATAAAATTTTAAGAATCACGTGAAAATGTGGAATCAACACTCTCTGAAAACTGTGACAAAATTAAACATTACTATGTTGAACTCTTTCTAGCTTTAACTCAAAAATAGAAATCATGAGTCTTCTATAACATTAATTTTAAAAACACACAGAAGTGAAAAGTGCTTTTTTTCAAAAAGTACAATTTTTTTCCCTACTATATAACATGGAATGATTTCAGTTCTCCTGTACTAAAAGCTAAATTTTAAAAAACTAGTATTGCAATGTTTAATATAACAATTTTAATCAGTAGTCGCTTCAGTTTCAGCTGGGCCCCTAATAAGTCTCCGTATCCCTCTTTTTCCTGCAGGACCTTTTGGTTTTGCAAAACTTTGTTTATGTGCATGCTGCTTAGGATGTACTTCCTCATAAAGGAAATCAGCAGTCAGCTCATCCCCATTGTCTATCTCGATCTGTAGAACAGGAAATCAGTGTGATACATACAAGCAACATTCAAAACCAAATACAAGCAACAAGCCAGTTTTCAAGTATAAATATTCACAAATAAAGGCATACCCATTCCAGCAAGACAGAATAAAGACCATATATAAAGTTTCACTCATCTTTTTGGAGGGAAGCTAAATGGGGAAGGGGTGCTAATATGTAAGCAGCTATAATCACTTGCTATTCTCTTCCTGCTCCTATTCAGTGTTTAAAAGTTAATAGGAGCTCTTCCTGCTCCTATTCAATGTTTAAAAGTTTAAAAGCTAGTATTATATTCTCAATGCGTTCTATTTTGGTTTACTATATATTCAAGAAACATTATTCACGGCTCCATCTCTTGGGTGGAATAACTGTTGAAGAAAAGTAGGCAAACAGCCTCCCAAGCCAAATCTATTCCACATCAAGACTATTTTATGCATTTAAAAGGTTGTAAAATAACCAACATAGGACAGACACCTTAGGTGGCCCCAGAAAGCCTAAAATATTTACTATCTAGTCTTTCCTAGAAAGATTCAGCCAATGCCTGCTATATATAGTAGAAGGTGCTACCAGGCAGGCATGGTGGCTCAGACCCGTAATCCTAGCACTCAAGAGGCTGAGACAGGATTGCCATGCATTTGAAGTTTGCCTGGGCTATATAGTGTGTTCAAGGCCAGCCTAGGCTATATAACAAGACCCTGTCTCAAAAAAAAGGTGCTACCCATGCACAGTGATTTTTAGATCTTAAAAAGCTCAAATGATTCAGCACCTGAAACACGAAATTGATAAGGACCTGCATTTTAAGAGTCAGTGGTTCAAGAATAAACTATCTTCCTTATGCCTTATCTGTATTTAAAAAAATAAGAAAAATGAAAGCTTAGTTCTCAAAATTCAAATGTTTATACCTACTGTTTCCTTCCCCAATAACTAGAAAGACTCCCAACCATCCCAGGATTCACAGTTATAAATGGAGATTGCAGCTTCTTATTAATAGAAGTCCAGAAACAATCTCAAGTATATAGCTCTAGCAGCATTGTCCAAGACAACTTTTAAAAGCCAGGCATGGTGGTGAACACCTGTAATCCCAGCACTAAGAAGGCTGAGGCAGGAAGATCACCATGAGTTCAAGGCCAGCCTGAACTACTGTACACAGGGAGACCTTGTTTCAAAAATCAAACAAAAATAAAAATAACTTTTAAAATAATGGAAATGCTGTACCTCCTAATATTGTAGCCACTAGATGCACAGCTAATCAGTACTTCCATTGTGGTTAATGTGATTAAAAATGGGAATTTCGGCCAGGAATTTAGCTCAGTGTTTCCGCCGCCTGCCTCGCAAGCAGAAGGACCCGAGTTCGATCCCCGGTACCAAAAAAAAAAAAAAAAAAGGGAATTTAAATTTTATTTAAATTTAAATTGTCACATGTGGCCCAGGCATGGTAATGGATGCCTGTGATCCAGTACTCAGGAGGCTGAAGCAGGAGGATCACCACTGAGTTCAGGGCCAGCCTGATCTACATAGCAAGACCGTGTCTCAAAAAAAAAAAAAAAGCCACATGTGGCTTGTGGCTACCCTACATCTATAGAATTGGGGATCATGATAGGTCATCTCAGGAACTTAGAGAGATCCTAAGAATTTAACAATTTAAAAATGTTTCATGTATAAATCACAGTACATCTCATGCTACATGGAAATGACAAGAGAAATTTAGCAAAAACGAGGTTTAAAATGAGGTTAACCTACCTTTCTGATTACATCCATCTGTAGTTGTCTTTCTACAATTTCTAGCAGAGGACTCTTGCAGCTAGAATACAGCATCCGTTCTCTTATACTGCATGTGTATCCAGGCATTGAATAAATAAAAACTGTTAAGTTAAAATAATAACAAATACAATTAGCACCATATCACTTACAGCAAATACATAGACTACAGCTACAACTAAACCAGTGACAGCGAACCTTTTAGAGCTTTCAGTGATACAAACAGCCCACTGCAGCATGCATGCCATAGGTTCACCACCACCACACTAAACCCTCTGGGTAAGAAATAAATAAGAATATAGTGCTGAAACATCAATATGCAAACTAAAAATAACATGTCAAAAACAATGTATCATATACCTATGGACTCTAAGTAGTCTCCTTCATGGGAATGTTTATACAGAAAGAAATGATAACGGGCAGAATCTTTGGGAATCCTCTTTGGCAAATCTTTCAGTTCTGTATTTGTTGTGTTGGCCAAAATTATAATTTCATTTTTTATATCTATTTCCTGTCAACAAGAAACAAAATATATACACTGAAGCAGTCAAATTAAGTTAAAATGTATTTTTAAGACCAGGAGACAAGTAAACTACACAGTTCTCTATCATTTGGTATTTTTATAATGAATACATATAGCTTTTATAATTTAAAAAATAAAAATACTCAAGAAACAAATTAAAAAATTTAAAGTCTATTAAAAATAAATCTTATACAAGCTGTAAATTACCAAAACAACCAGCCATTTAATTATAAACATTATACATCTTACCAACTGCACATAGTTCAGCTGTCTATTATTCAGTTTTTCCAAAGCCTGAAAAGCTTCTCGAGAAACAGGAAATGCTACTCCTTGTAGTGTTTGATGCTTCGTGTCCACACCCACGTCAGTTTGTACCTAAGTGACAGATACAGTGTACTGGTAAAGCTTAGCGGGTGGAAGAGTCCTAGAGAAAATAATTTCTCCAATTTCTATAAAATAGCATCATTCAACCACGTCCCAACCTACAATTAAAAATTCATACTTAAATAAACACCATGACCTTAAAAAGCAAATTATGTTGTACATTTGTTCATGGTTCTGCTAGCACTTTGGTGACATACAGAGTGCATGACACATCTTCATGAAATCCTCAAAGTGAATGAGTGAATATGCAGTCTGAGGGGATTTTGGATTCTGTTAGTTTATGTGCTTAGGTTGGCACAATCTTAATGAGTTACACAAACTCCTTAACATGTCATTAAATTATGATTATCCCTTTAAGTACAAAATTTTACTTGTTAGAGTTTATGAATAGTAAAATATATGTAATAAGTATAAAAATTTACTGTGTTCTGTTGGACATAAAATGCAACACAAACACCATGCACTGAATTGAAAGGAGTACAAACAATATACAAAGACACAACACAGCTCAACAAGTTATACTACTGCAGAAGTTCCAGACTTAGAGCTTTCTTTACTACAAATATGAGTGTGTATGGACTGGAATAGAATGATACTTCAAGAAAGCTTTCAATGCACATGTTTAAGGTTTTTATACCTCAAAAAATGACAGCTAGTATAGGGTCTCATTTGCAGTGTTGCAATAGAAAGTCAAATAGAAATTTTGCTTTTAAAAAATATGAATGGAGATTCTACAGCATGATACTGGATAATGAAAACATCATAGAACATATGCAAATGCATACCCCAAGATGATCCTCAGGGCTCTGATTGCAAGGAATAAAACAAACTATCAAACTTTAAAAAAAAAATCACATAAGAAACCCTTCTCCAATAACTTGGTTTAAGATGATGTAATAATAGATGCTGTCTACCAATTTAACATTAAATGTTATTTAACCATTTTCCAGATGTTGGGAGCAATGCTACATAATTCTAGGGAAAAATCATTTGAGTAGGCCTAGTTCTCCTGCCTACAGCCCAGCTATGACATTCCAAACGTAACTGCATTTTGTCCTCCGGTCACAACTGAGACCTCAGTGATCCCGTGATGCTGTAATGCTCCAGGACAAGACCACACCTGCGGGAGATGCCAAGGAGGAACCAAATATTCATCTGCATAGTTCCTCACTGTTCTTAGATTTTCACTGTCCCCCAGTCTTTTTTTACACCTTGTTTATCCCAATGTGAAGTACTGAACTCTGTATTTCACTTGTTACATCTGTTTCCCCATGTACTGAATAAAAGGTGCTGCAAGCTAGGGGGGTCTTTGTCTTTGCTGCCCAGAGCAGCACTGATCAGACCCAAAGCTCAGCTTCTTCTCAGTCTCATTTTTCTACCTTTCCTGTAATTCGCCTTATACTGCCATGGCTCGCAGGAGACTAGGACTTACTACAGAGGTTCTGGTAACGTCCCCTTCCCCTGTTCCCTACATTTGGCGCCCAACATGGATGTGAATTGGATCCACAAGTGAACTCGCCTGTGAGACAAACTCCAAGTAAAAGAGATAACACCCAGATGTCCCAGGACGATTTCCAGACTCGGACGAGGGACACTGGTGGTAAGAGTGTCCAGCTGGGGGAAATTTTCTATCTTTGCTGAGTTATAACAATGGGTCAGTCTCTGTCATTGGAGCAGCGTAACTTTGCCAAATTACTTAAGTCGCTGTTAAAGCAAGCTATGTACCCAGTACCTAAGGATGCTGTGACAGATTTGTTAAAAGACATACAAATGTATGTCCCATCTTTTCCCCAGGAAGGGACAACTAACTTTAATAGCATGGGAACGTGTAGGTACCATTCTCCATGAGGCCTGGTGAAGGGGTGATCGTCTCTCCCCTCAAACGCTCCCCACTTGAGCCTTAGTCCACTCTGCTCAGAGGTCAGAGTTGCTAGCCATTTTATTTGTGATTGAAAACTTCCCTCCCCAACCTCTTAATATTTTCAATGATTCCTCTTATGCAGTTTGCTTGACTCAAAGACTGGAAGGAGCTATGGTCTGCTCTACCTTAGAACCTAAATTATTAAACTTGTTTTTAAGATTACAAAAGGCCAAAATGCAATTATGTCTGGAATGTCATAGCTGGCCTGTAGGCAGGAGAACTAGGCCTACTCAAACGATTTTTCCCTAGAATTATGTAGCATTGCTCCCAACATCCAGATTGATCCCTATTAGTGTTTTAGGCTAGTGAATAATGGTTTTGGCTACTTATTTTCCATAAAATCTCAACAGAAACACAGTAGTTATTCCAACAATCAATTAGAATGGCTGCAAAAATACATTAAAATATGATAAACTATAATGACTAAAATTTATTGACTAATATGTTCAGCACGTACTCAAGTAATAATCTCCCATACTATCTCCATTACAGTTGATAGAAGTTAATTTGTAGAGTGTTTAGAAATCTTAAACATTTTACAGCATTTATTTATTCCCTTTAGCCATTACTAGTCTGAAATAACACCAAAACCCAAAAAACCCTACTGCAGGCAACTTTATAAGACATAAAATCTTTTGCAATATATGAGTAACAAATTTTCCCATTTATATACCATTCAAAGTACAGAGTTCTATAACATTTGTACTTCTAACATGAAGATTTACTTTTCTGACACATATATTTCAGGAAAAAGTTATTTAAGTTCACATGACATTTAAATTTTTTTCTGAAACCATTAAGCTTAAAACCTTGTCTCTAAACAGAATAAACCTAAATGGCTTAATATCTTTATCTTGTAGTTAGCCAAACATCTATCAATTAAAAATATAGTATCTTGGAAAACTTAAATTCTTGCCGACATTTCAAAGTTGTACTTTACCTCATTAATTTTAATCTGCCGTAATTCTTCCTCTGCTGCAGTCAGGGGGGCAGGGGAAGACTGTGATAGCAAATATTTCTTATACCCATGTAATGAGACATCTTCCTGTAAGCATAGCAATGGACTATCATCAGTTATTCTCTAGAAACAAAACCAGAGTGAGGCGACTCCAGGAAAAGCAAGATTATTAATTTCATAGAAAAGATTTTAAATGAAAGTAAATAGCATTAAGAATTTTACTTTCTCATGTTTCTTTAATCTTCTATTTAAAGATTTCAAGACTCTTTAAAGGGTGTATCTCATCTCCATTTCCTGTAGTGTTATAATTAGTATCCTGTATGAGTTTGCTCCCATGTATGAGATGATGCCAGCTAAATAATGAACCTGGTCATACTTGAAGCAGATAGGACAACTGTAATGAAACTTTTCGGGAAAGCTGTCCTGCAGTAATTCAGTAATCACCCAATCTAGATTCTGAATTCAGTATCAAAATAATTTATAGTTTCCCTGCAACTATTCATGGAAAATTATTGTAGATGTGGTATGAAAAGAAACAAGTACTCCAGAGAGGTCTACTCATCATCAAAATATTGTGGGTTGGAAGACTGAGACCCAGAGAATTGAGAAACCAGCCCATTTCACAGTTGATGGTTAAAAAGTAACAAATTCCTATTTGTTCTTGTGTTCTGCCCACTGGATTGCATTACTTTTTGAATCAGAACAGCTTTGAACAGGGCCAGGGATTTAGCTCAGTGGGTCTGGTGCCTGCCTCGAAAGCGCAAGGTTTCGAGTTCAATCCCCGGTACCAAAAAAGAATAGCTTTGAACAAGTAAACAACAAGATCTGCCCAAAGGTATTTTTCAGTTTTCTTAACTTGTGTATATATGCATAAATACATGTATTTACAATGTAAATATTTTAAAAGGATAAATGTTTTAATATTATTCTCAAGGCTAAATAGATGTAAATGAATAAATTTAAAGTTACCTATTCACTACAGTTAATTTGCATATGTTTTCATATATTCATATATTATTAAATTCATATTTACAAATTTATCCATCTGAATTTATATCACCCATAACCTAACAGTTCTTTTTATTATTTTATTTGCAACATATAGAATACACATAAAAATATGTTTTAGCTAAGAGAGGGAGCACACACCTTAGTCCTAGTTATTCGTGGGACTAAGACAGGAGAACTACTTGAGTTTGAGATCACTCAGGGTAACTTAATGAGTCCCACACAACCCCCCATCACAAAAATGTAAGTTTGTACCTTTACTGTACCGAATACTTCATCTTTAATGTGGCCACCACCAAACTCCTTTTTCAGAGTTGCTCTTGTTGCTGCATACAACATTTTTTGACGAACCTATTCAGTTGTGAAAGCTCACTTAGAAGTTTACAGGTGAAAACGTATTACACAAACATATTCTGACTGTATTAAGACCTCAAGCACATTAAAAAAAAACTGTTGATAACTGTAGCTCAATGAATATGCTAAAATTTATGTGCATAAATAATCATAACATGAGCATCTAAAATACTATCAATAGCTATTAAACAAGGTTTCAAATTATAGTACATCACATTTTTAGAAAAACATTTAAATTCTTTATTTTCAAGGGGCAAAATAAATTCCAGGAACAAAAAAACTACTTTAAAAAACTATTTTAAACCAGGCATGGTGGTGCACATCTCTAATCTCAGCACCCAGGAGGCTGAAACAAGAGGATCACCCCTAGTTCAAGCCAGCCTAGGATACAAAGTGAGTTCAAGGCCAGTCTGGAGTAGAAAAAGAAACCCTGTCTCAAACTCCCCCTACCAAAAAAACTGTTTTAAAATATGAGGAAAAATATCAAACTGAAATGAAGTAACTTTGATGGTGATGTTTTACTCAAAGCTAAATTAGATATTACTAATTAGGTTAAGAACTGAATATTCATGGCTTACCTATGTACACAACAGTGATGGCGAACCTTTAGTACTCTGAATGATAGGAACAGCCCACTGAAGCACAAGTGGCATAGGTTCACCACCACTGGTATGTACCATTCTATGAAGCACACAGGGATGAAAAGGTAACACATACTATTATTAGTCTACTAGTATCTATAGAAAACTACTAAACTTAAGTAGCCAAAATAGGAAACAGTTTCATAATCCTGAACGGTGAAATCCAGTATTTTTTTTTCCAGATAGTATGTATAGAATTAAAAAGGATGGGATGAAAGCAATATCTAGGTAGCTTTAACACTTATTTTATAAAAAACCTGAGAGATAATCATTAAAATATTGGTAGTGTTCATATGTTAATTCCATCTTTTGTTCTATTTAGTTGTCTACTACCAGCCTTTCTAAAAGAACAATTGGTATGCATGCCCATCACTTGAATGATAGCTATTGATAATATATGGTGAACATTAACAAAATTTAATGTTCAATTCATTCTCAGAACTATCACTCTTACGGAAAACTAGCTTCATTCTTCAAGAGCCCATAAAAATTTAAAAATTTTAAATCAAGAATTCTTTTGATTTTAAGGGCAAGACTTCTGAATCTACAAACATTGCCCTGGGTTCCACATTACCAGTCCAAAGGTTTTTCCCTATGCTCATTCCCATCTATGGGAAGTGAGTATTGGGTCTTAACCTGCATTTGGCCTAAGAAGTATTTCAGGAAAAACTTATTTCTAGTATGGTCATGTTGACCAAAAAACAAAAAAAATTACTTACATGAGAATGATCTGGAGACCACGCAATGAATATCCACTCATATCCTTGGGCATTCTGAGAATCTAACCTGAATAATATATAGCATGGCTGCTTGTCCTCCAATAGGGGCAAAACGAAGGAATCATAATCCTTATCCCAGGAACCTGAAGGCTGACTACATGATCCAACCACAAGTTGCTCTATGAAAAGAATCGTTTAAAAAGACATGTACATGATCTGAAATACCAAGTAGTAGTGTGATGAAGCCTAGAAAAATAAAATATATAAAAACAACTAACAATTGAGTTGAATGACTGAATAATGGGTGATTATATTTCTTTTTTCTTTTCAAAATATCTATCCCACAAATTACCAACAAAATGCATTTAAATAATTGCACTAACAATCAAAAATATAATTTCTGAAATTGCACTGTTCAGTAAGAAATATGAAATAAAACCAGATTTACCTCCTATTTGGTCAAGATTCAAGTATTTGCCTGAAACATAAATTGGTACAGCCAATACTAAGTGCCATTTGGCAGAATTAAGTAAAATTGTGAATGTGCTCTTCACAGACTTTTGTACACATGTATACAGTGCTCACTACAGCACATGTATTAACAGTGAAAACTGTAAACAACCTCACTGTTTAACAATAAAAGGGAAACAAATATATCAGTTACATGAAAAATATTCATATTTTTAAAGGACTCGTAAGTTTTCTATCAAAATGATAACATTTACAGCAAAAGGAAAGATGCAGAATAAGATGGTTTGCAGTTTATATGAACTTAAAAACTCAAACCACACTGTATCTATCTAGGGATACATGTAAAAATATGAAAATCTGACTGAAGTTGCTTAAGGGGAAGGAAATCAAGAAGCAAAATTGTTTAAAGGAAGCACTCATATTAGAAAACTTTTTAATTTAAAAAGGATTGAAAAAATACCATAAAATATTAATAGGCATTAAGGTGAGATATAGATATTTATATTACTATATTCTTTGAAATTTCCTTATTAAAAATTTTTTCAATACAAAAACTAGAAAGTAGTATCATAAAAATAAAAGTATTTTCTTTCTGAGATGGTATTAATAAGAGGAACTAACTTTTCCATTTTAGTTACTTAACTGGTCACTTAGGAAAGTACAGCTTAATTTTTTTCTTTTGGTAACGGGGATGGAACTCGAGTCCTTAGCTTAGGAGGCAGGTGGTGGAACCACTGAGCTAAATCCCCGGCCCTCAATATTTTTAAAATATGCTGCTTGGGCCAGGGATTTAGCCCAGTGGCACTGAGCCTGCCTTGCAAGTGCAAGGTTCTGAGTTCATTCCCTGGTACTAAACACACACACAAACACACACACACACACACACACACACACACTGCTTTACAGTATACATTTATTTCTGGCAAATGTTGCAATATCTATAAAACAATTACTGTAATAAACTAATTTTTAATATGTAAGCAGAAATGGAAAACAAAATAATTTACTTCCATGAAAAAAACAAATAAATTTTTCTAAAGCAAAATATTTCAAAGTAAGGAATTAGCCCAATAGAATATTTTAAAACATTCATGTTATAATAATTTTATAACATAATTTTTCAAATTCCAATCTACTTGATTATGAAGAGTCTCCCACCCAGTTTCTCTGCTTAGAGAACTTAAGTCAGTTTAGAGTTCGTTACAGAAAGTTCTCAGAACTTTCCCAAAACAAAAAGGGTATCATTTCTGTGGCACAGGTTGCAATCAGATGGAAAAGCAGGAGTTTTAAATCCTCTGTTTCTACTTAAAAACAAGCCTCACTGTATAGTTATTCACAAGGTACATACACATCTAGATAACACAAACATGGACTATAGTGCAGACATTGAGACACAGAAAGGAAAAGCAAGATGTTACACCAGAAAAACATCAACAAAAAGAAAAAAGGGGGCCTTTGACAAAATGTGAGGATTCCAAGTTCTCTCAAGACAAGGTTTGAACCTGCTTCACATTAATCAATAGTTCAAGTTACTGACAAGTTAGAAATTTAAAAATATAACTAACACCCAATAATTTTGTGACACACAACATTTTTAAATGTTTAACTAACCATTTTCAATAGATATTTTCATAAGTCTGTACTTTCCATTTCTGGCTCTGGCAAAGATATCTTTAACATCTTCACTTGCTGTGGAAAAAAAACAATTTTTAAGGGTCGGGGATTTAGCTCAGTGGTTCCATTGCCTGCCTCGCAAGCGCAAGGTCCCAAGTTCGATCCCCGGTACCCGCCCCCCAAAAAACAAACAATTTTTATACTTAAAATTACTTTATTTTGCTATGTGAAGAAAAATAACAATACAAAGAAAACATCTATACTCTGTGGCATTCTCTTATCAGCATTATAAAATAGGCATAAAATAGTGGACACTGAATATACCTAAGAAAAATCAATATTAATAAAGCATATTATAATGTTTTAGCTAAGTAAGTATGTGGCATAAGTAACAATGGAATCAATATACTGAAGTTACTCAATGAAATTACTAATGGGCAAATTACAATTTTGTTAAACACCCTTTTTGCTTTTTTGAAAAATGCTTGATAATTTGCTTTCTCTTCCAGTTCAATTTCAAGCTTGTAATAAAGACAGCTTCTTCAGTTCATTTTCTGTATTTGGCCACTAAATACAGTATCTGATATCCTATCCCGATTAAAGAAAAAGCCAATAACATGCATTAGATTTTATGCTCCTTGTTATATTTTTCTTACTCATATTTCTCAACTTGTTTACCTAATAAAGCTTCAATTTCGTTTTAATTTCGTTCTTGTGTTGTCTATTACGAGCAAGAGCTACTATTTAGGTAGCATTATAAGGCTTGAAAAGAGAAAGTAAATACGTATTTAAATGTAAAGTCAATGTGAACAAATAAAACAATGCTTTTAGAACTCGAATACTTTTGCTGGTGTGTGCGTGCAGGAGGATGTGTGGGGTGGTGTCAAAGACCCTTAAGAACAAACCTGTCAAGTGTTCATGGGGGGAGGGGTCTGGATGTATTAACAGGGAGAGCTCGAGTTTGTTTATACTAGAACTCGTTAAGTGATCGCGAGTAACCCCGGGATATATTATCAGATTCTGATGAGGCGAGCGCTTCCAGGCTGCCCATTTTCAAACCAGGATATAGTAATTGCAAATTCAACTGCTTGCTCTGGTGACCAAATGCAACCATACAGATCGAACTTTTCAACTCTGCGGAGTACTGAGTACAGCCCACATTCAGGATTTCTCAGAACACAATGTATGCTCCGATTTGGAAGAAACTCAGACAGTTTGGGAAGCACCCCTACAGATGAAAGAAAGACTCTAGCATGTTTCTTTTTTCTTCTTGAGACAAGGTCTCGCTATGCAGTTCAGGCTGACCTTGAACTCACTATGTAGCCCAGGCTGGCCTCGAACTGGTGGGGATCCTCCTGCCTCAGCCTCCCGAGTGCTGGGATTACAAGCGTGTGCCACCACGCCCGAATGGCATATTTCTTTTTATAATCAATGTCCTGCAACACTTTGCTCCAGACGAGCCAAAGGAAAACTCGCCCGTCTAGCCCGCGCCAGGATCCCCGGTCGCCCGCACAGTGCCAGCGCTCTCCACCCGCCGACTACGGGGAAGTTGGGGTGCAGTCGGGGCAGGAAGGGCACTCCACCTTCCCAGGACGCCCGGACAAGACTTTCTCCGGCTCCCTCAGAACCGCGCTCCGAGTGGTACGTGGCGGCGGAGCCGGCCGGGGCGCGAGGGACGTAGGCCGAGCGCGGGGATCCGAGGCCCCGAGAAACGAGAGGCCCGGCGCCCGCGAGGCGACTCCGGACGGGTCCGCGACACCGCCTCGGGAGCCCCTGCTCTGGGCCACACGGGCGCCGTTACCTTGGATGCCGGTCTGGTGGGACATGGCGGCGGCCCCGGGCTCCGCCTCGGGCTCCGGCTCCGGCGCTGAGTGCGGCGAGCGGCCCCGGCCGGCGGCTCCAGGAAGTGGCGGCGCCTCCGCGGCCTCGCGTCATCCGCCAGCGACCGCGCCACCGCCCTGTCCCCCCCCCCTCCCCCGCGCCACCCGGGTCACTGCCCTCCGCCCCTGGCCGTCGCCTCTCCGGCTCCACCCTGGAGCCGGCGTCGCGGAGCCGGCCGGACAGCTTTCGGCTCTGGCTCTGCCCTCGGCGACCCCGCCGTTCGCCGGCTCAGCAAAGGGATGCTTAGAAATGGAAATGTCCATTTTACCGGACATACGTTTGTACTCCAAAGATGTGCAGGACCTCTTTCCTAGTTTACTCTTCCTGTATTTGGTGTAAGGAAAAGGGCAGTCCCCGTCCTGGTTAAGTGGGAATCTCCCACCGTTTTTTCCCCAAGGCAATCTGAAACTAACAAACTTTTCTTTTTAGTTGGCCGCTTTCACAGATCAAGTTTTCCTTTCTCTGAAAAGATAAGCCGACTTGAGTATTCCTCTGCGGTCAGTTCTAACTGACCCGTTTTAGAATGAGCCTTTAGAATGACCCTTTAAAAAAATCAAGTAATTATTCAGAATTCACTTGGATAAATTTGTATGGTAACACCAGATATTAATTCAATTTCTTTTTCATTTTTTGGTTTTATGAACATGCCTTTCTTCTTGGAAAGGTAATTTTAGTATTTATTGTTCAGCTTTTCTACTTCTCCTAGGTAGAAAATGTAGGTCTTGTTTTTAGGGTCTTAGACTGATAAACATACACAATTAAAATCTCCTATGAAAAAATACTATTCAGACCAATATTCTGTAAATATAACTTAACAAAAATAATCACTTTGAATACAATGTGTTTTAATTAGTTCCTAAATAGGATTGCAGTTGTTTTTCTTTACAGAAACCATAGCAAACAAAGTTAACGTCTGTTTCTCAAACAGGTCATCATATTCAGAAATAAGCACATTTTATTCTGAGTTTTCCGACTTGTTTGGATTTTAAAAATATATGGAGGCATTTATACTAACCGAGTTGTTCCTGGCAAAGTGGTTTTCTCTGATTTACCAGTTTTGACTGCTTCATTGAGCAGACAAAATTGTAGAATTCACTTGCAATTTTTTGGCTGATTTATCTGGTGACTAGGGAAAATTGCTTAAGGAAGTTCACACTGCTCAAAAGTCTTGATGAGAAAAGATAACTCCTCCATGGTCATGTTTAGAAAGGACCACTGTATGCTCAGCCCTGAAGAAGGGTGAAGTCCAGTTATGTGGGGACCACCCTGGAATCTTCCAGAAAGCACTTGTTTTCTGCCATTAAGCTTCAAAAGCCTTAGGTGCACTGCGGTGTCCTAACTACACACATTTTCCTACTTTTCCTCATCTGTTTTGCCTCCACTTGTTGAATATTTGCCAGAGCTGTCCTGAAAATAATACCTTAAATTTGTAGTGTTTTACAATTTTCAAACAACAGAGACTTCTCTGTGCACTGATCTAATCCTGTATGGCAGGGTAGATGAGTTATAATGAGGTGGGGTTTTTTTAACTTTCAGAGATTTGGAAATTGAGGCATAGAGAGGGGGAGCTAGCAGGTTTCAAGGGTAGGACAAGTGTTTAGAAAGGATAGAAACCATTTTAAGACAATGTGTACAAATAAGGGATGTATTATAAGGGTACAGTGGAACCTTGTGTGTCCTGCGGGCCATCTCACCTCTGCTTCTCTGTCCTTTTCCAAGGGGACCCTGCTTTACAAATTAGTCACACTTCTAGCTACATGCAACAGTGAAATAACTTTGCTAAATCCAAGTTCCAAATTCCTAGGAGAAAGCATAGGCTGGATTTTTCTGGTTCAGATGTCTCAACAGCCTTGGCCAGGCTGGCTGGTTACAGCGCTCATAAGTAAAAGGCAATTGCCACGGGAGGAAAGATGGGTCTTTGACTTGGAAAATGGGCTCAGAATTTGGCAAAGCTGGTGCTTAGAACATCAGTTCAAGGTCACAAACTCAAATGCATCCAGGCAACAGTTAGATAACATAAATTAATGAAGCTGACAAGTGGAACCTGCTGTTCAGGAGGACAGGTTCCATCTAAAAGGAGCCACTACACTGCAACTCCAGCTGGAACTCAAGCCCAGGGTAACTGCTCTTCTGATTTTCAAGTGATGTCAGAAATTAGAATTTTTATGTAAAATCTCAATTTTAACATTTAAAAAGTACGAAAAAACAAAATAATAATTTGACCTGTGGACTGATTTCTGACCTAGATCTTCTGTCTGGTCAACTGTCAAATAATGATTTAAAAATTTAGATCATCCATCAAGTCTTTACACAGTAGAAATAAAATGATGTGTACATTCATGTGAGGAGTACACATGGTTATGTATAGTGTATGTATACATAAAACTATAAAAATCACCCATCTTGTTTCTTCTCTGAATTGGAAACTTTTATTAGAAAAGAATAATTTCTTCTTTAATTTGTGAAATAATTATATTGTAATATTCTGCATTGTTTGTTAAAAGCCGGAAAGAACTTCTATGACCATGAACAAAATTGTGTAACCTCTCTGAGTTTCAGTTTTCTTTCATGTCATATACCAATACCAATGTCTTATGGTTATGGAAATCAAGCAAGATGTGACTTTATAAAGTTACTGATGTATTAGGTATTCAGATTTCATATCTGCTGGTTAATATTGAGTGTAACATAATACTGTACATTATAATACAGTATGTTTAGAAATAATTTCAATAAAAACAGCATATACAGTTAAACTGAATTTCTGAAAAATCATGAGCAACTATTCAAAGTTAAATTCTTAAATACAGTGGTGTCCCAGTTCATGAACATAATTCGTTCCTCCATTCTGGGGAAGATGGCTGTGGTCATGCTCAGCACCCGATGCAGAGTTCTTGAACAGAAGCAAAATGTTGCCAAACACATCTGTTTGCAAACAGAATTGTCACCAAAAAAAAGCATTCATGAACTCAGATATTACTGTAGATTCATAAATCTACAATATCACTGTTCATTGCTGTGTCTCATAAGGCATCAAATAATTAAAAAAAATATCTTTGGGTCATAAAAATAAGAGTCAAGCATAAGCATCACACTTTGACTGAGTTTAACTTTTAGTACATGCATCTAATTATATGACCCTGGCCAAATTAACAAAATGAGAATGAAGATTCTTTTTTTTTTTTTTCAGATATCAAATATGAATTTAATTTGGAAAAGTAAGACTGTCAATGAGTATGATCTTGAACAAAGTATTATAGTTCCTTTAACTATCTGACTATACTGAAGATTCTTTTATTCTGATGAGGCTTGGTAGTGTTTGAGTCACAGAGGAAATAGAATAAAGAGTTTGGGTTAAAGATCAATTCGAGCTAATAGTATCGCTTTAATATTGTTATAAATGAAATCTGGACTGAAGTAATCCTAATAAGTGATGTGTAACTCCTAATAAAGGAAATAGGGAACATTTCAGTTCAAAAGAGTTGATAATAAGGATTTAGATTGAAATCAAAATACAGGAAAGCACAAAGCAAGTAGGTTTTGATGTATTATTTATAGTGAACTTTCACCCTGGATTGAAGAAGTGCCGTAGTAAACAGCATCTTGAATTTCTTTCCATCTCATATGGGGAGGGATGGGTTAAGTAGTTAATGGGAATATTTGTAAACCACTTTGAGTACATAGCGCTCTTTCCCTGTTTCTCTGTCTTTTCTAGTGATACTAATTAGTACTTAGCGCTTCTGATGTTTAAATAGCATATACAGAAGATACTGCCTAATACTAAGTCCATAATGAGAGAAAACTTTTTGTGTACTTTAAGTATTTTTGTACTCACAACAGATTCCAGCATTTGCATGTTAGAAGAATTTAGTACTGGAGTTTGTGATCCGTTTAAGAGGTGGTACAAGGGCACCTGAAAAGCTGAGTTTGAGTAACAAAAGTTTTGTTTGTTTATTTGTTTTACTTTATTGTGTTCTATAAAAATAGATTTGACCACAAAAAAAAAAAAAGAAAGAAAGACATTCATAGCAAATAACTGACAGACTGTGTGGGGAGAAATGCTCAGCAAGATTATGGAACAGTTAAAGTCCTTTGTGTCCATTTTAAACTTCCTTTTGAAACTGCTTGAAAAATATGGCTTCATGGTCTGGATCTAAATTGGTTTTCCTTTTCCTAAGTACTACTCTATATCAAGGACTTTATATGAAAGTTTCAGTATATCCTGTATTTTTAGGAATTGGTGTGGTGATCTGTATTTAGAGATGTGTGACTGAAAGATTTAACTCTTACCATTTCATAAAAGGAACAGAATTTAGTGTAGCAAGATGCCCAGCTCAAAGTTTGTATTTCTGCTTCCCTTGCAGCAATTGATTAAGTTCTGACTAATGGGATGGAAAAGTTATGTGAGTATTTTTGAAAGACTCCTTAAAATGCCGTTCGTTAGCTGATGAGATTCCCTTTGTATTTCCTTATTCCACTTTTTCCTATTTTCTATTGGAATGAAGATGTGATGGCTGGAGTTCTAGCTACTGTCTTATACCTGAAGCAACCTTGATGATAAAGACCATAAATTTGGGTAGTAGAAAAGAAAGACAGAAGGAAACCTGGGTCCTTGTTGACTGTGACTCTTGTACCTCCGGAATTATATTACATTTCAGAAAAATAATTTCCATTCTATTAAACCGTATTATTTCTATTCTCTGTTACAAATAGTCAAATATATTTTGTTAGTGAGGCATTTTGCTTTACCCAAACTTATGTATAAATACACCTCAGTATACAACTCTTTAGTTCCTACAGTGAGAAGTTGGATAGCAGGTTCCTAAAGTGGGGGTGCTCATTTTGTTTGCAAAGTGGGGATCTTACTACATTAAGAGGAAAGTGAAAGATATATTTTTCTAGTGAGAAAAATATCAAGTTCTTTTGTGCTGTTCGTTTATTACACTGGCTAAGGTTTCACAAGTCAACATGGTTCTCCTAGGTACTTCTTATTTCTGCCTCCTGCATCCACCTATCACTAGTCCTTGCA